CTAGAGGACGTCGAGGCTCCAGGCCTTCACCCGATTACTTGTGCTGGGCCAGCTAATCTGCGTACAAACATTCTTCTGCTGTTCTGAATTTGAACTAAAATTCCAGCCAATACCCTGGGGTGGTCCATCGAATTGGGTCTCCAAAGTCCAAAACGAGGCATTCGGAGGTAGTATCTCAGCCTCTAGTATTTCTGAATTTTGAGTGCGTAAAGCCTCAAACAATTCATTACTTGAGGTTGCACGGTCATAAAAAAATTTTCGAACGTTGTCCTTAGAAGAACTAGCTGGGTGGCCCGCGCAATTGCACGGCTAGCACCCAAACAAAATCATATATTTTTTTACGATATTACTTAAAATTTATAAAATAGCTATTTCATTATCTTAAGACTTTGAAAGACCAAACCTTATCATCCTCGTGTTTCTAATTATATAGTTTTTAAAAGTCACACCAGCTGCTACCCCTTATGTCATCTTCTTCTTTATTTGCTTGCTCGATCTACCACTATTTCTATTTATTCTTCTTAGAACCTTTAAAAATTGGATTTTATAGTTTTTAGAGTTTATTGTCATGTTGGGTTTCATTTTTATAATTTCTAGATGTCCCGTCAAACGTTGCCATTATACTCCTCTACGGCCTGTCCACTGTCTCTTTTCTTTATTGTCATTGAGATTTTAAAAATCGAACATAATTATCGTTTGGGTTCATTTTTACTTTCTAGAAGTCCCGCCAAACCGTCAGCGGCTTTGTCATTGTACTCCTCGGCGGCTCACCCACTGCCTCCCTTCTTTATTGTCATTAAGATTTTAAAATCGAACATGATTATCATTATTTTTTTTTACTTTCTAGAAGTTCCGAACCTTTAAAAATTAGACTTGTAGTTTTATTTTTTATAATGTTTAGAAGTCCCATCAAACGATGCCACTATGCTCCTCTACAGCCCGTCCGCCGCCGACTCTTTATTGTCATTGTGATTCTAAAAATCGAACATAACTATCGTTGGAATTCATTTTTTATTTTCTAGAAGTCCCGTTAACCGTTGGCGGCTCTGCAACTATACTGTTATACACCCCGCCCACTGCTTTTATTGTCATTGAGATTTTAAAAATCGAATATAATTATCAATTAATGAGGTTTGTTTTTTTTTTACTTTCTAGAAGTCCCGGCAACCACCTTACTCATTTGCTTCACAGCCTGCCTGACGTCCCTCCTTTTAATCATCATTTAGGATTCTATTTGGTGTTTTATTAACAATTTTTATATGGCGTATTAACCGCCACCACTCTACTCCTTTATATGCATGTTACTTAATTTATCTCATCATGTATTTTAGACGGTATTTTCTTTCAATAATCTTTATTTTTATCAAAAATTTTAGTTATTTATAAATTATATTCTTAATTAAAATCTTACATTTCTTTTTATAATTTCAGATTTTAAAAAAAAACTTTTTAGTTAATACCGTATTGTGTTCTTTTAATGCTTTTATTTTTTATTTTCAATTTCAGTTGTTTTAAAATTGTATTTCTACTTGAACTCTCTTTTTATTTTTCTATTTTTAGATATTATTTTATTTTTTATTCTAAATTTTAATTAATCTCGTATTGGGTTCGTATATGGATTTTTCTTTCAATATCGTTTATTTTTAATTCCGAATTTCAGCTAATTTTAAATTGTATTCCTAATTGAACTCTTCTTTTATTTTCTTTTGCTAATTTTGGATTTATTTTTTTCTGATGTTTAATTAATCTCGTATTGGGTTCTTATATGGACTCTTCTTTTAATATTCCTTATTTTTAATTCTGAATTTCAGCTATTCTTAAATTGTATTCCTACTTGGACTCTCATTTCCTTTTCTAATTTTGGATTTTATTTTATTTTTATTTCGAATTTTGATTAATCTCATATTGGGTCCTTATATGGAAACTTCTTTCAATATTACTTGTTTTTAATTCCGAATTTCAGCTATTTTTAAATTATATTTCTACCTGGACTCTCTTTTTCTTTTCTAATTTTGGATTTTATTTTATTTTTATTTTTATTTTTGATTAATCTCGTATTGGGTTCTTATATGGAAACTTATTTCAATATTGCTTATGTTTAATTCCGAATTTCAGCATTTTTTAAATTGTACTTCTACTTGGACTCTTCTTTTCTTTTTTTTCTTTTTCTCCTATTAATATGGAAATTTCTAGCCCCCACAGCGAACGTGGTGCCTTCTTTTAGATAGATAGATAGATAGATCGGGCAAGTACAACCTACTGCACCGCTACAAGGAGACGGTTGTCGCTCCAATGCTGTGCACTGTAGAGTCTCGTACATGGAAAGCATCGCTTTCTTTGCTGACACCACACAAGCCCTCTTGCTGCAGCACTGGACAAGACCACCTCCTGTCACCTAGCGGAGCTCATGTTTTGTAGTACAAAACGACCGACGGACGACGCGTACCTGCTCCCGCCTCCAAGACTTGCACCAAATGGACGTCGAGTCGTCGACCTGATCTCTAGTACAAGTGTGAGTCACGTCAAGCGTGGCAGACCGCGGGTACTAGGGTATCAGCCACTTTTGCTCCGGAATCTCGGCTGAGCTAGCGCAGCAGCGCAGAGCGCACTACTGCATGCCTGGCGTTTTTCTCTCCGGATCGCGACAGGGAAGAATTAACCGAACGACGAACGCTCGTCGTCGCATCGTCTATGCCATGGCCATCGCCAACAGATCGAACACATGTCACTGCAAAACACCTCGTCAGTCGTCTGATCAGCCAACAGCCATCAGCCGGTCTCGCCTCACCTGCGAATAGCATCTGGATTCTCGTCGTCGTCATCAATTAATCGTCCAAGACCCGCGTGTGGTGGCTGGCGATATTAAATTCAACACGATCGATCGACCTCTCTCTCTCCTCGATGGCGAGCCAACATCAACGTTACCTTTATGTATATGACAGTATGAGTCAGCTAAGTACGTGTGTATATATATATATATATATATATATATATATATATATATATATGTATGTATGTATGTATGTATACTGATCAGCAGCAACAGTACACATGCTTGTTGCATGCATGCGTACTGGTGATGGCCGCATAGCAGCTGGTAACTGAACAGTGGCTCGGAGAGGGACGTCTCGTCGTGCCGCCCTGTGAATGCCTGTACACCCCCGAGCACCGTAAATTCCGAGCTAGCTAGCTTGGGGACGTTGAAAGCGTCGTCAGATCTGTATTCAAGGCAGTTGATCGACCATGTACTTCTCTGCTCCTTTATATGGGGTTACAGTATACCGTATAGCTCCATGCATGCATGGTGGAAACGATTTGCGTGGTTGCTGTGCAAGTGCATGTACATGTGCGTGTGATTGTTTGTACCCTGTTCCTGGTTTCATGCGATTAGATGGCCGAGTGCACATGATGAGCTAGCCTATCCGTGGACTACAACACATGCGATGAGCATGTCAGATGGCCGATGGCCAGGGAACAGCTGGGGACTTGGCCACGCCTCGGAGAGGGCTAATCGAGAAAGGCTAGCTAGGTATAGGCGTATAGCTACTACGAGCATCTACATGATCACACTGCACATATGTACGCGTACATGGTATTTGCATATCAGTCCATACGAGTAAATGTGTAGCCATGCATGAACTTATGAATTGAGCCCTCTCTCAACTGTGTCACTTTGTGATGGAGTATTTTATTTTTTCAATTTTTTACGCACTGACGGGCTTCGCGGGCCTCAGATTCTCCAGTCACGTGCAAAGGATACGTACGGCGTGGCAGGCCACCGGCCGGTTTCCTGGCACACGGCCCAGTCAGTGGCTCAGGCGAGGGAAATCCGCGTACGGTGAAACCCAACCCCGATGCCGGCGATAAATCCGTTTGCTGCTTGACATGAGTGGGCCGCCTGAGAGGACAACCGGGATCCAGTTAGCGAGTCAATGACGCTGACACTTGGGTCCCTTCTCGCCTGGACCCACATGTCAGTGACAGATGATCCACGTTCCGAGAAGATGACGTACGGTTTCCCGTGGATTTGCGCTACCAGGACGCGTCAGGTTACAAAGGGGCTTTGTTAGGCTATGTTCTTCCTAGTTTTCCTAACTCACATCTATCGTTTTTCACGCATATAACTTTTAAACAGCTAAAAACGCTGTGCTTTTTGCAAAAAAAAATTATACGAAAGTTGTTTTAAAAAATCATATTAATCTATTTTTTAAATAAATTAGTTAATACTTAATTAATTATATAATAATACGTGTTTCGTTTTACATGATGAGGCCAATCCCTCCTCCCGAACGCAACCTAAGGGGGTGTTTGGGTCCAAACACCCCCCCTAATACTTATCATGTCATGGACGAACAAATAATGGCAAATAGGCAGTCAACAAAGCTCAAAACTGGAATTTCTCAGGCACCGGCCAGATGTGTCAGATTAGGACTTCCCTACAATCGACGTGCCCTAATTCCCAGCAGTTAATGCTTTGGCGGGAAGATTAATCACGTGTGTGTGTTTTACTTATTTTTCTGGGTTGCTCTAGGTCTCCTGTGAATATCTCTGGAGACTGGTCGTGGGTCGACAGAACCACTGAACCAGCAGGGTGCCATGCAGCCAGTGAGCATTACATGCATGGTTTGGTCTAGTTCTAGGAGTGTACTACATGTGCGTGCACACTGCAAGTGTAGCCAGAGTTCATGTATGGATCATTGCACATGTTGTTGTGTGGTCTCATGCATGCAGATGACGATCATGACATTGCGTGTTTGAATCCAGGTTGAGGCATGTGCATTGCACATTTGCACTGGCTGCCGTGTTCACCTGTTCGGGCTCGTGCTTACCAGCTAGGGTAATGCCGGGCATGCAGTTACTAGCTGCTCCTGGCACCCAGTTACTGCATGCCCGGTTTCCTCGTCGTCGCAAGTTACCTGTCCTTAAAGTTGGTAGCTCAAGAGAGAGGCCAAAAAGATGAAGGAAAGCGGCAACCAAATTTAACACCGCAACAGTAGTACTACTAGCTGGGCCCCTTTGGGATGTCTCCTCTCTCCACTGATATTCCTCCTCTTCCTAGATCATATCTCATCCCATCATCGGTCATATTCTCCTCAGCTTCATGTTGCTGAGCTATAGGCGAATGGTTGACAAGAGTACTAGTTAGCTTAATAATATAGCTTTGCAAAAGTTGAGGTAATGGATCGATCAGAGATGGGGAGGGGAAGGGTTGAGCTGAAGCGCATCGAGAACAAGATCAACCGGCAGGTCACCTTCTCCAAGCGCCGCAACGGCCTCCTCAAGAAGGCGTACGAGCTCTCCGTGCTCTGCGACGCGGAGGTGGCGCTCATCATCTTCTCCAGCCGTGGCAAGCTGTACGAATTCGGTAGCGCCGGGTAAGCGTGTGCATGATCCGTTCAGTACCCTAATCGTATGTGATTCTTGCAGATCTGGTGATTAATTTCTCTCTTCCCTTTGGTTTGTTTTGTTTCCTTCCATGGGATGCGTATTCTCGTTTGCTTCCTCAGCTTAAATCCGAAATTGTTTCTTAGATTTTTTGTTACCAAGTATATATATGTGCTCGCTGGTTTATTTTGCTATATGGTTTTTTGTTTCTCGCTAGCGTGCATGTGTTTTCATACATCTTTTAGGCTTAGGTAATCTTGCCGGATGTATGCCTAGCTCTTGCTACTTGCATACTTGGGTAATCTTTTCATAATGAAAATCCTCCAGCCCTAACTCAATAAAGCACATAATATCTCTTCTTCTTCTTCTTCTTCAGAACCTAAAGAGCATTGATTTCTTTCATTCGTGCGTGTGCCCGGCGTGCGCATGTCAGGAGCAGCTAGGTATATGAGGCTCTGAGGCGCAAGTTTTCTGATTGCAAGAGTGACTTGAAGGGGAAAGTGATGGGGTCTGCTGTTTCCATTTAGATGCCGCACCAAGAACTTTGTTTAAATCTTTTTTTTCAGAATTATTGCCTAATTTGATATCCATATATTTCATTCCTGCAAGTATATAACATCTTCTCTTGCCATCTCTCAGGTAAATTATATTACATATGAACCATGCATATGCCTCTCTTTTCTTTTGATGCATTTGTGTTTTCCTGAAAGGTTCGTGTTCCCGTTTAAATAAAGCTTTCAGATTTTTTTCCTGATAGGTACATGAGTTTTTTTTTCATTTATTTGATTAAACCCTCAAACATTATCATCACTTTAGCTGCATATATATGAATTCGATCTTTCAAATCTCTTATGTGTATACGCTCTTTTGCAAGATTTTGTGATTCTGGTATTATTATTTTTTTGTTGTTGCATTGCCTCTTGCTAATACATGAAGGTAACCGAGAGGGGCTTATGCACATTTTGAGTTGAATGTTAGTAATTGCTATATGTATTGACGGGAAAATCATAAATATATATAGACGAAAAATAACTGTGTTGATTGAAATGCATGGATCGAATTGAACACCGTTTAGTTGTGGAAATTCTTTTATTTCTTCTCCGTGATCAGTGTGTAGGGCTTCTCTCCAGGGACCATCAGAGCAGGCGGGCCATGAAAAAAATTTTGAATAAAGTAAATACATTACGAAAGAGTTTTGTGTTATTGTGACCGGCAACTCTTGTTGCTGAACTTGCTGCTTGAACCTGGTATGCACATGAATATGGTGGTTTTTCTTTTTTTCATCATAGTTTATTTTGCAACATTTACTTTTGAGTCGCCAAGAACACACATATAAAGCTTTACTTAGAAATATTCTTTTTATTTGCTAATAAGTGATTCGGATAAGCATATGAATAAGCGAAACAATGAGGCTTTGTGTCCGAATTAGAGCATCATTAAACAATTTCTGAAAACAATTTCTTCAGTAGCGATGATCGAAAGGGATTCGTTGAACTCTAACAATTATTAAAATTGTTCTTGACCACAAATTCACCTGGCCATATGATTATCATTACCTATTTTCTGCAATTAAATTTATGTATTTTCATTCTGTTATATTAGTCTCCTGCTGTTTAAAATTACATATCATTCTACCTTGTCCTAATTTATGTCAAACATTTCTATCCTTGACAGTCAATTTCTAGAAATTTGTATAAGTTAACAACATGCGAATTATATATTACAAAAGTATTTCTCATGATGAATCTAAAAACATAAATCTTATGATATTAAACTATATGAAATTTTAAATTTTGATGGCAAAACGTACAAATGTTTAACTTAGAACAAAACTAGAATGCAAGTAATTTCAAATGCAGGGCGAAGAGTAGATTTTATTGCATTCGGCTTTATGTATGTGAGTAAGTAACATATCCTAAACCTATTTTTGTTTGCAGAATAAACAAGACATTGGAAAAGTACAATAGTTGCTGTTACAACGCTCAAGGTTCAAATAGTGCTCTTGCTGGTGGTGAACATCAGGTATTCATAGAATAGTTGTCAAACACACTTCGGTAACCATATTATGTAGAATCCTTTAAAGTTCAAATATACATATCTAGACCTCTTTGCCAGTAATATTGTCTCAAATTCTTGAGATGCAAGGAGGATCAATGAAGAGATATATAGTACTTAAATATTGCTGATTTTAATTTGAAGATTGCAATCAAATTCTAATATATGTACTAGTTCAGTGAATAAGATATTAGTACTTACATTTTCTAAACCTAATGATAATATCGCTTTTTTCCTTGATGCAATAAAAATTAAACATTCAGATTCATATAAAATAAAATTCAAGGGTAAATAAGAACAAAAATAAATGCTTACTATTTTGGATTTTATCAATTATTGGTTTTAGTTTTTTTTCCCATTTGACCCATAGAGCTGGTACCAAGAGATGTCAAGGCTCAAGACTAAGCTTGAATGTCTCCAACGCTCTCAGAGGTACTGCACTGCATCAGCTGTTTCAGGAACACTTGAAATGCTTCACCACTTGAATGTTTGGGTGTTATATTTGCATATACAACAGGCACATGCTTGGTGAAGATCTTGGACCATTGAGCATAAAGGAACTGCAGCAGCTGGAGAAGCAACTTGAGTACTCACTGTCACAGGCTCGACAACGAAAGGTTATATCACCACACAATAAAATAAGTGTAGTTCCTTCAATTACCTTGTTAATTAACATACAATAATATCTGCTATTATCTAGTACAATACTGTATGCATTATTCTATATATACAACCTATATCTTGACAAATAAAAGGGATATATACTGCAAATATATCCATCTGATGAATTGTAAGAAATTAACCACTTAAGCCGTAAATGGTGCTAAAAAAGACAACGCAGCCGTAATATATATAAGCAACAAATATTGCATGAGTGTACGTACTTGATCAACAAATTTTACGGCGATCTCTGCTGGTAGTAGGATCAATATCTGGACCTTTCATCTTTACCTATCCAATATATATTTATATTACTAACTTAACCATTGGTAGTAGAATATTTTGTCTATAGGTAGTAAAATTCATAAATCAACTGTATATAATTTCTACTGATAATAAAATAATATCAATAAATATCACAATTAATAAAAGTACTTGATTGAGCACCAAGTTTATTTCTATAATAAAAAGACACCATAAGTTTTCTATAATTGCTTTTGCTTCCTTCCAACTTCGGGGGGACATGGTTTATATGCTCCTATGCCCTGAAATACTAAATATGTCAGAAGAAGAAGACAACAAAGTACAGGGCTTAACTTGCATGCTCGTCCATATAAAAGTTATCTAAATTTTAGTTGAGTTCTTTGTATTTATTTCAGACACAAATCATGATGGAGCAGGTCGACGATCTTCGCCGGAAGGTATTGGAATATCTGTCAAATGTTGTCGCTTTTCTATAAATCTGTAACATCGTAATTAATCATATGATCAAGATTACTAAACCATATATTTGTATGATATGATAGCTTATCAGATCTAGATAATTAATCCTGAAGGTTGTGGACGTATTGCTTTATAATTCAATACTTGTTGCTTCAGATATGGGGAATTTCAAGTGCACCACAGAGTTCGAGGACATCAAACATTATGCTGCCATTTTTTCAGAATCTTTCCTAAATATTTATATATGCTTTGGTTATTACTAGGGTATTCCGTGAGGAACTATATATTCTCTCCTTTAGATGAGAATGTATTTGTTCCTGATTTTACTCAATCGTAAAAAAAAAAAGGTTTATACCTAGGAAAATAAATGTAACACCTTATAATACAGATGCCCATCTGAGTCGCTGCGTCCGTACCTACATTTCATACGGCTTTAATGTTTATGCGTTAATTTTTCAAGTTGCAATATGGCCACCAACTATTAATTAAAAAGGGATTTATTTTGTCAATTATCAGAACGAATTATTGAATCTTATCAAGAATGAATTAATTACATACCAATATTATCTATCATGTCACAAAATCATTATGATCACAAGGAGCTGTTTGCAAGACTTTTAGGGTTAATTCTTTTTTTCTTGCTATGGCTAGGGGTGATAGCTGATTAAGGTCCATGGATTTTTTTACATCCGTATCTAGCATTTGTATATTTTTAGATCCAGTCTTCAAATTTTATAGACTAAAAACTTGGGCCAATTAGCACCCTAGCTGTGGCTCATATGTTGCTGCATATACTCTCTTTATATATATATATGTGTTTGATGGTATTTACTTTTAAACATAACCATTCATATTATTGAAAGAACCGTGCAAATATATAGAAATATAAGTCATGTCTAAAGTACAAACAAAATGGAATAGAAGGATGAATGGTCAAATTTATGTTAAAAAGTCAATGGCATTAGACAAAAAAGAAATAAAGGGAGTATACATCTACCTATCTAGCTGGAACTCCAAGTTCTATTGTCTGGAAATTGGAATAGGCTAGCTCTTGCTGACCTGTTTAACTGGCTTTGGTGGGGTGCTGGTGTTCCATATGTAATGGGGATGACATTACACCAAAATCGCTCAGCCTTTCTGCTTAATTTGCTTAGTAGGAGTAGTGTAGTACTCCTGAACTTGAACCCTGTAGCATGTCGTTTCTGATAATAGAAGCGGGACAGAGTGTTATGTTTTTCTATCGAAAAAATAAAATATAGTTAATCACATCTAATAATCCTGCCTCAAAAGTGCTAGTTGTATATTCCCTAGTTGACTGATTATCTGGGCTGCCTGCAGGAACGCCAGCTTGGAGAGCTCAATAAGCAACTGAAAAACAAGGTCCTACTTATCGTTTCCACAATTAATTTCTGCCTTTCAATTTGGTGGATTGGGAATACTGTACAACCACTTCTCTGTTTTCTAGTGTTAATTAGTGTATCTTCGAATTTTGTCATGTCATTTCGCCATGTAGTACTAACACATCGCCACACCATTCAGCTAGAAGCTGAAGCCGATAGCAGCAACTGCAGATCAGCCATCCAGGATTCCTGGGTCCATGGCACCGTCGTCAGTGGCGGCAGAGTGCTGAATGCTCAACCACCACCAGATATTGACTGTGAGCCTACTCTGCAAATTGGGTAAGTTTGGAAGATGAATCAAAACTAAAACCTGATCAATCTGATCTTCCGAACCAACGTGTTTGAAAATATGCATGCACGCTACAGGTACTATCAATTTGTCCGTCCTGAGGCGGCCAATCCAAGAAGCAATGGAGGAGGAGGGGATCAGAACAACAACTTTGTGATGGGATGGCCCCTCTGAAGTCCAAGCTTGCTAATAAAAACGCTGGCGTGCTATAATATATAGTTCGGCAAATGTTGAAACACATGTGTTCTCAGTATGTATATTTCTCCCCTATCCGGTGGTACTCTTAGCACGTACCTATGAGTGTATGTTTGTACGTTATCTATACTCTATGCTAGGCAACCCTATACTATTATGGTAAGACGTCTATCTTTTCAATCTATCTATACGTACCATACTAATTGGCAAATTTTGTGTAGCTACCGGATTAAGTGTGCTACCTACTGTAAAGATCCCAAGAGTTTTGCATGAATATATTTGGCTAGAGCGATCATTTAATTCTATTTATTCAAAATTTTCTAATGTGCACAATGGGACTTGTGTGAATTGTTAGACCATTGTTATAGAACACCTAAATTCGAAGAAACCTTCGGTAGCATATGTCCTACAGCGCAAACACAAACAAAACAGAGCATACACAAACATAACACAAACCTATTCATGCCCTCAACTACCGTTATTTCCCTTAGGCGGTGACTCTTATATTTGAAGGTATGAAAATTTGAAAATGGGGTCAATATTTAAATTATGGTGTACAAAATATGAGGTTTAAGAAGGCAACTCGTTTTTTTCGAGCTTGTTTTATTTAGTAAAGGGTTTTTAAAATCTTCAATTCGACTAGTTTTACGTACTAAAATACATGACTAGTAATTAAATTTGGACTAGGGTGTTAGATAGGTCCATAATATCGTAAACTGCACATATATCACCCATATATGATTACCAACGTGGTTGTCTACGGAGGCCAAAAGTTCACATTCAACCCCCTTCCTTACCCATGGTGGTAACAAATATGCGTTTAACCCCTCCGAGTTTGTTACCAACTATGACAAAAAGATGCCGCACCTCGATGTCCCCTCCCCTCCTTCGCTGCACTTCACTGTCTCCTTCCCCTCCCTAGCTGCATTTCGTGCAGCCCTACCCTTGTTGCACTTCGTGATGCGTCACCTCCCTGATTTGAAAGAGAAGAGATAGAGTATACAGGAGTCGGGATAGCGACAAATTCGAAGCAGAGGGGTTAAATGCATAATTATTGTCACACTGAGTTAGGGAGAAGGACGAATGCAAAGCTTTTGGCCACTATGAACAACCACATTAAGAGCCATAGCCAGTTAAAGGCAGTTTGTTTCACGGGTGATACACTAATCTAAGATTACGGATCTAGATATACGATTTATATGTTGATGGACCTAAGTGGTACCTCGGTTCAAGTTTAAAGACTTGTCGTTTATTTTACCCTACAAAAGTTTTGCAATTGCTACCATACTGAACGCTACATAAGAGTTTGGATAAGGGGTCATGTCTTATTGTACCTCCTTAGGTTGTGTTCTAAGTCAATTTTTCCAACTTCATCTCCCTCGTTTTATGCATACACGCTTCCCAAACTACTAACGGACTAACGGTTCTGTAGGATCGTAAATGGCCTTTCCACCCCAAAAGCTAGCCATTGAGGTGAGGGGCTCCCCCACTTATATCTTAGTTCATTTGTCTTTCCACAACCAATGTGGGACTATTCAACAGGTTCATTTTTCTCAAAAGTTTTCTATAGGATAGTTATTTTAAAAAATCATATTACTTAGTTCATTTTTTTTGCAAAAATAGCAAACACTTAATTAATGATGCACTAATGCGTGCTTTGTTTGGCGTGCCATACCAACCCTACCTCCGGAACACACCTTTAGTCAAACTTGGACAAGGGGTACCGAGGGTATATATATAAGTCCTCTGAGGAGAGAATGGAATCGAATATCGAACAATCCCACGAGCGAACACTAGCCACATCGAGTTAACAACTGGAGGAGCTCCACAGTTCGCTACCAACCACATCGCCAAGGTCCCATCTCGCCAACTTTGTTGGGTAGACTAGATGAGAGTTCTCATCCACATATATGTACATGGTCTGCTTTTTAGGGCAATACTCCTTCCGTTTTAATTTATTTGTTGTTCTAGCAAATCTCACCAAGGAGGTATAGCAAGTTACATAGTTATCCTCATTAGTTGCATCCTAATTAATTTCCTAAAGCAAATAGTATCAAAGGTCTTGTGTGGAGTAGTAATACTATTGTGGTTGTATTTATGAAGAGTAGAAAGGGAAAGTTAGCTCAAAAAATTTTTTTGGAGTGTGAAAACGATAAGTATTTTTTTAAAAAACATAAATGCTAAAACAAGAAGTAATTTCAAACATAGGAAGTATATATAAACAAGAGTAGGACTATTACCCAAACCGAGGGTCTAAACCTATATAAAAATATTTTCTGTTGTCTTTGGTTATAGGTCTGACAATATCCTCGTATCCACCATATGTATCCTAGATACACAAATAACGCAATCAAGATATTATCGTCAAAAACCTTATCATCACACCCATACACCAAACACATACATATAGATAACAAGGTGCACTTAACTAAGCGTACACAAAGATTGATCGGCCAAAGAAAAGAGAGCTCAAATGTAACGGAATAAGATTGACAAAATATATAAGTTTTGTGATATGCCCATCCGCCAATCACCCTAGCCGTCAAAAACAATAAACTTCCTTGGTTTAAATCTTGATTTAAATTCATTTGTTTGACTGGATTGACATTGTTTAGGCACCATGTTAACTGTTTGTGAAGTTTTTTTATTGTTTCTAAGATCAATTTATCTTGGTTAGGTTGTATGCTTTTCTTTGCATATGAAGAAATTGATTGCTGGTGCTAAACATTTAGTTGTTGTTAGCGAGTGTTTATCTTACCTAACATTTCATTAATTTGCATCCCGTGTAGCTTCTCGATTGTGTTGTTTGGGATTGGGAGCACTTGTTTTTTTTTAAGAAACATAGTACATACCCGGACTCTCACATATGCACGAGCACACACTTTATCCGTATGAGCATATTCAGAAGATTGAACAAATATATTTGACTAAATTACCACAGATGGCTCGCTCTTGATTGGCATATTTATTCACTTTGCGCACGCACTGTTTCTCCCCCCCCCCCCCTAAAATCATTAAGGAAAACTTCTCAAAACACATTCAATTTAAGAGCAACTAAATTTCAAGTTTGAATTTTGGATATGTTACCAGGAAAATACATCCAAGTACGTGTTATTAACTATTATTGAGGAAACGTTTATGTCGTAGTAACAGATCCCCACAAAGATTAATGCCACCTTCCTACCAAAATTTGTGATTATGTTCATACACTTTATACATGGTTAGTTGCCCACCAATCCGATTCAGTTGAGGCTGATCAATCAACAGGGTGCATGTGCGTATTGCATGAAGTCTGAACCTGAGCAAGTTTAAATAGCCAACTACTAGCTCCAATTTATTTATAGATAATCTAATAGTTCATTTATACAATAGTTATCTATAAACATATACTTTCTCCGTTTCACAATGTAAATCATTCTAACATTTTCCACATTTATATTCATTAACATCAATATGAATGCGAAAAATGCTAGAATGACTTATATTGTGAAATGGAGGGAGTAGTACACTATTAATATATGATCCTACATCTCATACACGCACAATGTATTAGATTCCGTGCTGAAGCTGGCTGTAAATATATAGCCTGTTTTCCTTCTCTCTTATCTCTTCTCTCTTCCACGTATGCTTATAGCTTACTTGTAGCCTGCCATTGTACTCGCTCTAAACGGGTGCACGTTACCTAGCTCGTCGGATGCAACTATGCGTTAAAGTACACCCGTGGAATTCCAAAATGCCATTAATTTTCGCGTGAGCACAACTATCAATTGATTAGCACCGGTACTGCTTGGTGGTTAGTCGTCCTGATCGGAATCAGTCTGCGGTTGGCCTGCACCCATCCAGCAACAATGGCGAGATGTACAGCCTGAAATGACGAAACTGCCCCCATGGCGCCGTGCCGCGAGACAATCTAGCCGAACCGCCTACTGCCAAGCAGGCCCCTTCGTTGACGTGGCAGCAGGTGGGACCGACAGAGCGGGCACGTCACCTCTCCCAGGTCGATCCACCGGTCGATGCAGCCGATGTGGAAGGCGTGGGTGCAGTTGCCCAGCCGCCTCACCTCGTCCGTCGCCTCCAACCTCTCCAGGCACACCCTGCACGTGGCCGGGTAGCCGCTCTCGCCGTCGTGGCAATCCGCCGACAGGTCGGCGAGTTGCATGTACTCGACCAGCGGGAGGCCCCGCTTCACCGCCTCGGGCTGCAGGCCGTCGTCGCCGAGGGGATCGCGGCGGCGGCCGTGGATGAGCGGCGCGTGGTCCTCGACGGTGTAGGGGAACTCGTAGAGGCCGAGGAAGCAGAGTATCAGCACGAAGGCCAGCGCCACGGCCTGGAGCAGCTTGAACAGCGCGACGATGGGCCGCGGGATCTGGCGGCAGAAGCACACCAGCGGAAAGCTCATGGCACCGTACACACACGCACACGCGCTCCTCTGCTGCAGCTGGAGGCAAGCGAGGGACAGGGGAAGGCGCCGGCAGGAGGAGCGCTTGCCGCGCGCGCGAGGTGCATAGGTGGCGCGGCACACAGACACGCAGCAGCAGTGTCTGGTTTTAGAGGGCGAAACGTCGGGCTAGTACCGGAGAGTTCATTTATAGAGACGTCCCCGTTAGGGAAAAGCGGTTCGTACATACATACTCCCATATGCTATCGTGTGTTTGCAATCTGCACTGCACGGTCTCATCAACATGGCGCTTTGGGAATTAAGGGAGTAGCTTAGCCAGGAAAAAAGGTTGTGGCGTGGCTGTCGTTCCAAAAGCACGATGGGTGCGTGCAAACACCGGGACGGACTTCCGCGCCGTCACACGTAGCGAACGCGCGGGCACCGTGTGTTGCAGAGTCGGTGTCTCATTGGCGTAGCGTGAAACGGGACCCGTGTGGAGGCCGCCCGAGTTGCGTACGTATTCACGAGTTCAGCGTGATCCGGGTTTTGGCATGTCGTGCGAATGTTAGATGCGAGTCATATCAAGTTGGTTGCGGGCGCACGTACGTATTAATACCGGCCGGGATGAAATGGACCAGGTACATTCATGCATATGGGCTGCTAAAACGACCGAAAAATACAGAATTGAAAAGATAGTGTCATCTAACCACAAATTATTATGATAAGTCTTTGCACGTTACACTCGTGGTCATCACATAAACATCATTGCGTATAGAGGTGGTTAAGATAAGAACGACACGGCAATAACTTAGAGGGAAAAAAAATCCAAATTACTTACTGAGCTATCGTGGCAGTATGAATTACCATCCTCATTTCAAAAACCAGATATTCTTCACCCTCAACTTTTTATATTGGACAAATTATCCATCTACCAGACTCCGGAGCGATTTTGGTCCTACGTGACGTACACATGGTAGTCCAGTCAGTAAAAAAAATTGTAAAAAAAAGAAGGGCCCATATGTGGTGACTTGAGAGAAGAGGCAAAACTGACCAATGGACCCCCACTATTTTTATTTTTTATATATTGACTGGACTGCAACATGTGCACCACATAGGACCAAAACTGATCCGGAGTCGGCTAGGAGAGTAATTTGTCAGGTACAAAAAGTTAAGGGTGAAAAATGTCTGATCCTTTAATTGAGAGGGGTAATTTGTACGATCACAATTGTTCAGGAGGTAATTCGTATTTTTTCTAACTTATATGTGCAAAGATTTATAATAGTGTGTATTTTTTTTAATAAAAAGTGGATGGATTTAAAAATTGCATAAGTCCGTTTTGCGCATTTCAACTATTGTGTTTGTTTAAAAAACACCCCTCGACTTTAAAACTAACTATTCCCTCCGTCCTAAAATATTGCAACTTAAGATAAAATTTGTAGTACTAAGATGAGTATAACCCCATCTAGATTACAATATTTCAGAAAGAAGGAAGTATAATACACCACTGATCTATCAAAATTGTTCAACTTACCTCAATCAGTCCAAACAAGGGTAGTTTTCACCTACATGAGACTTATATGTAGTCCAGTCAACAAAATCATTTTTTTTAGAAACTAGTACTAAGACCTACCCCTCCGGTACATAAAAAACTCAATCCTACCAACGAACCTAGACACATGTGTGTCTAGGTTCATAGCTAGGGTTACTTTTTTTTTTCAGAGCAGTACTCCATCATCCCAAAATATAATCATTTTTAGAATAGTGATAAGTCAAACATTTTTAACTTTTGACTATTAATAGCAAAAAATAAAAAAGATCAATTATATAAAATTGATGTTACTAGATTTATTATTAAACAAACTATCATAATATGTAACTTTTTAATTTAAACATTTTAGTTTTATAGATATTATTGGTCAAAGTAGCACCTTAAAGACCGTGTCAGAATTTAAAAATGCTTATATTTTGTAACGAAGAGAGTATGTATAAGTGACCACATATCTTTTTCTTCTCCTTAGTTTTTTCTCTTACAGCTAGTGGATGCCTCCACCAGCTACCGTTGCCGCTATATAAATTCTACTCCTTGATAAATCTAAAAAATAAACTACGATAAATCAACTTTAAAATGAACCTTTGAAAATTAAATTAAATGGTTTACATCGAGTCACACACACAAAGAGATAAGCGTGAACAGAGAAACCTTTCCGGTTTTCCATCTATTCCTGTAAGATCAAGTACAATAATACTACATCAGCAGGCTATATATATATACCACATCAGATTTTTAGATGAGTTAGAAGAGAGAGAGGAAAGAGAATAGCAATGGGCGACTAAATTAGCGTCGACTACAGCATAAGCTACGATGAAGGTGTGGACCCTACCTTCCTCCTCCCCAATCGATAGCTGAAACAACTACATGGTGGGCCCAACTTAATTAATAAAATAAAGTACTCTCATGTGTCTAGGTTCATAGCTAGGGTTGGCTTTTTTTTATCAAAGCAGTACTCTACCATCCCAAAATATAAGCATTTTTAGAATAGTGACAAGTCAAATATTTTTAACTTTTGATTATTAATGGAAAAATAATAAAAAAATCAATTATGTAAAATTGATGTTACTAGTTTTATTATTAAACAAACTATCATAATATGTAACTTTTTAATTTAAACATTTTATTTTTATAGATATTGTTGGTCAAAGTAGCATCTTAAAGACCGTGTTAGAATCTAAACATGCTTATATTTTGGGATGGATGGAGTATGTATAAGTGACCACATATCTTTTTCTTCTACTCAGTATTTCTCTTCTGGCTAGTGGATGCCTAGCTGGTGCACCCACCAGCTATCGTTGCCGCTATATAAATTCTACTCCTTGATAAATCTAAAAAATAAACTACTATAAATCAACTTTAAAATGAACCTTTGAAAATTAAATTAAATGGCTTACATCGAGTCACACACACACAAAAAGAGAGAGGCACGAATAGAGGAACCTGTCCGGTTTTTCACCTATCCCTGAAAGATCAAGTACAATAATACTACATCAGCAGGCTACACACACCACATCAGATTTTTAGATGAGTTAAAAGAGAAAGAAGAGGAAATAGAATAGCAATGGGCGACTAAATTAGCGTCGACTACAGCACAAGCTACGATGAAGGTGTGGACCCTACCTTCCTCCTCCCCAATCGATAGCTGAAACAACTACATGGTGGGCCCAACTAAATCAATAAAATAAAGTACTCTCATGTGTCTAGGTTCATAGCTAGGGTTGGTTTTTTTTTTGTCAAAGCAGTACTCCACCATCCCAAAATATAAGTATTTTTAGAATAGTGACAAGTCAAAAAATTTTAACTTTTGATTATTAATGGCAAAAAGAATAAAAAAGATCAATTATGTAAAATTGATGTTACTAGATTTATTATTAAACAAACTATCATAATATGTAACTTTTTAATTTAAACATTTTATTTTTATAGATATTATTGGTCAAAGTAGCATCTTAAAGACTGTATCAGAATCTAAAAATGCTTATATTTTAGGAACGGAGGGAGCATGTATAAGTGACCATGTATCTTTTTCTTCTCCTCAGTTTTTCTCTTCCGGCTAGTGGATGCCTAGCTGGTGCACCGACCAGCTATCGTTGCCGCTATACAAATTCTACTCCTCGATAAATCTAAAAAATAAACTACGATAAATCAACTTTAAAATGAACCTTTGAAAATTAAATTAAATGGCTTACATCGAGTCACACACACAAAAAAGAGAGAGGCGCGAATAGAGGAACCTGTCCAGTTTTCCACCTATCCCTATAAGATCAAGTACAATAATACTACATTAGCAGGCTATACATACCACATCAGATTTTTAGATGAGTTAGAAGAGAGAGAAGAGGAAAGAGAATAGCAATAGGCGACTAAATTAGCGTCGACTACAGCACAGGCTACGATGAAGGTGTGGACCCTACCTTCCTCCTCCCCAATCGATAGCTGAAACAACTACATGGTGGGCCCAACTTAACCAATAAAACAAAGTCCTCCATCTGTCCCAAATATAAGCATTTTTAGACTTCGTTATGGTCTTCGAGATGCTACTTTGACCAACAATATTTATAAAAGTAATATATTTTAAATAAAAAGAGAGTTACATATTATGATAGTTTGTTTAATGATAAATCTAACAGTATCAATTCTACATGATTGAGCATATTTTTTTGCTATTAATAGTCAAAGTTAAAAATATCTGACTTGATACTATACTAAAAATATTTATATTTTAGGACGGATGGAGTATGTAGCTGTGGAATAGAGCTCGTTTATTGTATATTCTATATCCTACCTGATCTATAGATGACGTGGATGTAATTGCAGCTAGCAATTGAGTTTTCTTATTAAACCTGCTCTAAGCTTGCGCAAGTAATGGAATTTCGATGTGTATCTAGATATACTAGTATACATACGTGTTTATTCAGACTTCAGAGCATCAGAGCAGGTCACAATATATGCATGCTTTCTTTCTGCACATGCAAGCTATCTAAACGTTACTATTGGTTGGATTCGATGTTCAATGAAGGCCATTTGGTGACCCGTCGCGTGTTAAAGTGACAATGGACAGTTGGACACGTCTTTTGGCCACAGACATAAAAACCGCTACAGCATATATTTTGTTGTGTTTTGTTAGATCGCTGGTAACAGTCGTAGTTTCTCGTGGCGCATGCAGTATCAACGGGCCAAATGCGGCCTAGACCGCCCTACGTACACATTACTATATTTCAGGTTACAAGACTTTCTAACATTGCCCATATTCATATAGATGTTAATAAATCTAGACACACATATATGTTTAGATTCATTAACATATATATAAATGTGAGCAATGCTAGAAAGTCTTATAATATGAAACGGAGGAAGTACGTTCGAAGACTAGCTATGGCTAAAATGTAATTTACTATGCATACGACTCAATTGTTCGACTCACGTATAATTGAATTTGATCAACGTTCGTAAATGGTTGTAATTCATATATATAAACATGCTCTCTTTAATTTGATATTTTGATTGATATATGGTTGTACTCGGCTAAAAGTATTTTCAGTTCGATCGGGTGGTTGCGTGCAGCTGCAGCAGTGCACGGTACCTTTCGTCATTAAAGGTGCACAATGCCGTGGCTACTTGACATGGTGCGCCTTTTCTTTTTGCCTTTTTTTTTTTGGGGGGGGGGGGGGAAATAAATTGACAAGTTACTGTTAACATCCCGCAACTAACAATGTCGCCAAGAAATTCAAGTATTGTGCGCACTCAGTTTTCCACGCCATGTACTTCCTAAATCTGGCGAAAGCACTAGCTAAAGCAGACTTAAACGAGAAGAGTGTATTATTGTCCAGGGCTTTGGATTGCGAAAAGAGCCGGAGGAGAATTTGAATGAAATCTGAAACCCATGAAAGCTTTGTGCGAGAAGCCGAGAATAGAGAACGTACGGAGGCCCGCTAACAGACTGAATCACCGATCGAATCGACAAATGCACGCGCGGATCATCATGACAAAGATGTCCAACAAAATAAAGAAAACACTGTTAATTTATTATGCTTTTTTCTATTGCTAACCTGAAGATCGTCCAGGTTGCAGCTAGAACACGGGAAGTTGCCAACAGGCATGATTGTTGAAGCTATAAAAATGTACTCCTACATTTAAGCTCGTTTTGTACTGTACAAGCTCGATAAAACACTATGCCGCCATTTGCCAAGGCGGTAGTACCGGCGTGCGGCACAGAGGGCAGGTTCCCGCCTCCACCACCCAACCGTCGATGCACGCGGCGTGGAACGCGTGCGAGCAGCTGCTCAGCTCCGCGACCTGGCGCTGGCATCCTCCTCCTCCACCTCCAGCCTCCAGTTCCGCCAAGCAAATCGTGCAGATGTCCGCGCTCGTGTCGCCGTGCGGCGAGGCCATGTTGTCTGATCCGCCCCGCGAAGCACGCCGCCGTAGCCTGTACCACGACGTACTGAGCTTCGCCTGCATGAGGCGCTCCATCGCGCCGGTGTCTACGACGTCGCTGTCGCACCAGGAGTGGCAGCCGGGGAGCTCATTGTCCTCCTGGCAGGACACGACGCCGAGACGCTCGAGGAGGGCCGCCGCGAGGAAGCGGAGGACGGCGAGGATGTCGAGGAGCAGGAGCTTCCGCCGCAACGTTAACGCGAGGTCGTAGCTACTATGATCGCTGCCGCTGCTGCTGCAGGAACGCGCCATGCGTGCAGGTAATTGTGAATTGAATTGGCGATGCTTCAGCTGCGACAGGCATATCTTCTCCTTATAAATTGCGATTGGGATTTAGAGGTGGGGTATGTGGCAGTTGACACCACCATGCAGTAGCCATGCAGTTGGCGCAATGCCATCCTTTGGTAGCGTGGAGTCGTTGCAGGTAATTCCGCTAATTCCGCATGTGCGAATAGAAATTGATGGGATTGGGTCCAAGTTTAGTTGGTGGCGGAGTTGAAACTTTGGGGAAAAAGTGCACCAAAGGTCCCTCAACTTTTCAGCGAGATACAAAAACGTCCTCGAATCGTAAAACTAGATATACGGGGTCCCTTAACTATATAAAACCGGTCACCCGAAATCCTTCAGCATTTTTTATCTTGGTTTTGGTCTATGTGACAGCTGAGTCAGCGTGGGACCTACGTGGGCCCCACGAGTCAGCCTGTCCAGGTCAGCCACTATCTCTTTCCCCTCTTCTCTCACTTCTCCTCTTGGGCAACTACCGGGGCGGGTGGGGAGGAGGACGCCGGGGCGGCCGGCGACGTGGTGGCGGGAGCACGGGAGCACGAGGCGACACGGCCGGTGACGCGGAGGTAGGAGCACGAGGCGACACGGCGGCGGGAGCCGGGGCGGCGACGCATCCACGACCGCCTGGACGGAATCCCACTAAAGCCACCGCCGCCACCCACTGTAGTGGCTCTCCAGCGGTGCCATCAGCTCCTCCGCCTGCAGCACCACCTCGTCGAGGTCGCCTTCGCCGTTATCAAGGACGGACTTGAGCTTGCCGACGGCCTCGTCGACAGGGGCGGATCCAGCATGGGGGCGGCGGGGTCTCGAGCCCCCACTACTGGCGTGAAGACTATGAGAGACCCCATGAAGACCCCACTAAAATTTTTTACCATATGTAGATGGAAAGGGGACTATAACTCTATCTAGTTTGCTCAGACTACACTGCTATTTTTTTCTGGATCCGCCCCTGCTCGTCGATGGCGTCCAACACAGCAGGAGCATGAAGCGACGCGGGCGGCGGATGCGACCGCCGCTGTGGGCGAGGAGACGACGTCGACGGCGAAGAGGACGCGCGCGCGGCCGCCGGGGCATCACCGACTTGCTGGCACCCTGCACGGAACAACAACAAACCGGATCGAATCAGATCGAGCGGAGGAGGAGGAGGAGCTGCCGTAGCGGCGAGGAGGCAACGGCTCCAGTGGAAGCAAACACTTATGACGTTGCCAAGCGCGACGGCGTTGAGGAAGGTGGAGGGGCGGCGCGGCTGGACTCGTCGGAGGGGTCGTCGTCACCCAGGAGGGAGGCGGCCTGGCGCATGGACTCGGCGAGCTGGATGAGCTCGTCCATGGCCTCAATGGCTGACGACGACATGGGTGGCGACAATGCCGAGGCGGAACAAGTGTGGCCCGTGGGAGGAGGACATGGCGGCGCGGTGATGGGATTCGTACCGGCGGGCACCGCTGTCGATGCCCTCCTCCTCCTCCTCGTCCGGGCCCGCCGCCGCGTTGCCCGCCTGCGCCCGGGCTGCCGCCGCTGCGTCGCCACGCCACCCCGCCGCCCGTCGCTGGCCACCCCGAGCAGAGAGCGACAAGAAGGAAGGAGAGGAATAGAGAAAAAGAAAGAGGAAAGAGATTGGGTGACGTGGCCAGCTGACATCTTGGGCACATGTGGGTCTCACGCTGATTTAGCCGCCACGTAGACCAAAACCGGGTTCAATACCACCAAAGGATCTTGGGTGACCGGTTTTGTACAGTTAAGGGACCCCACATATCTGGTTTTATGGTTCGAGGATGTTTTTTAATCCCCATGACAAGTTGATGGACTTTCGGTGCACTTTTTCCAAACTTTGGCACTGGCCTAAATCCGCCAAGATTATGCAATGCTAGTTACTGGGCCGTTGCTAAGCTCCTAATGCTGGACGTGCTAAGGAGGGCCGAAACGTGGGCGACGAGGCGAGGAAATGAGGTTACCTTTTTCCGCGAGATCTCGTGCACTGCTGCAGCCGAATCCGCAGGCCCGGAAATATCTTGCTGCATTCGGACAGCTTGGTTGCCACGAGCCCACGACGCACGTCCGCACCGTACGTAGTAGTATGTGTCAGTGGCTCTTGGAGACAACTGATCTTAAGCGGAGCTGAAACTCTGAAAAAAATATTACAAGAGCATCACCGATTATTAGTACCTCGGGAGGGGGAAAAATATTCACAGCAAAAAGGATGAACTGCTTCTCACCGTGGTTTCCTCGTTTTTTTTTACAAACGCCTATACGGACACGCACAAGACCTGAAACCAATCCAGTAGATCGCCTATTGATAGTTGAAAGAAGGCCGTGCACCGGATAAACGGATATGCTGTCACTCAGAGCCAAGCCCATGAAACTGCATGCATGTACACTAGCTAGCATATCCTAGAAGGTGCCCCGGAGAAGGTGTCAGCTGGTGAAGGTGATCGATACGTCGACATGGATTGGGGCAGGACCAGAGGAAGGAAATGCATGCCCGAACCACACGGCGACCAGTAGTAGCAGCACGTTGTCGAGGACGCGCGCATCGCGTCGAAACCAACGTGTATCACGGGCTGCTGCTGCAGTACTGCTCGCCCTGTGCGTTGTCCGATCCGTCCACGTGCTCCCGGCCGTCCCATGCGGTCCCCGGCTCCCCGGCCGTCGTCGACAACCTCGCCGTCCGAGCGCACCGCCAAAGTGCTCTCTGCCTCGCTGTTTTCCTGGCTCGCTTCCAATCCACCATATTATTCCAAGCTCGTTGTTTTGTTTGGTTCGTTTTTCCTCTCCGGGGAAGGAGAACGTGCTGTGTGGGAGATGCGCTAGCTGGCCTACCACTCAAGCAGTCAAGCTGTAGAGACGTGCATTTTGCGGTGCTTTTCGTACTCGATTTGGTGCGTCAACGCCGTCTACAGGTCAAGACGTCGTATATGCGCACTGCAGGCGCATACATGCTATGGGCCTGTTTAGATCTTTCAAAATAGCAAAAGTTGTCATTTTAGAGCACTTTTTATCATTTTAGATTTAAACACTAGTAGCAAAAGTTGGCAATTTAGCATTTGCTAGTCCATGGTACGGAGTAGTAAATTTTACTAAAAAGTGCTTTGGGACTACACCCTCTCTCTTTCTCTCTCTCTAGTGCTGAAATAACAAAACTTTAAGATGCATTTAAATACCAACCAGTACCTTTGCCATGTTAAATCTTTTGCCACTAAAACTTTTGTTATTTGCCATTTCAAATGGATCTAAACATGCCCTATATTAGATAGAGTACGTATATATCATTTTTCATAGACAAGGAGTAATGGTCGCGCTGCATGCAGATGATGATGAGATGCAGTGTCATGCAGGACTACGCTTGCATCTAGCGGGTGGCGGTGACTTTGATCTGGTCTAGAGTCTCGCCTAGCACGTACAGAGCAAGACAGTGATTTTCCTGGATTGGTGTGCCCAAGTGGTGAGGCAAGAGGGATGCGCGCGTTAGCGAGCGTACATGGCCGCGAGTCCGCGACGACGCCAGCGTGCACAGCGCGACTTGTCTTCATAAAACTACAAAAAATAGCTAGCTAGTGTTGGATCATTCTCAAGTTTCGTGTAGAAAAAGGATGGAATACGTACGTACAGTATGGTACACCAAACAAAGGCCCCCCGTTTGACTAAGCTACTTGGATTAACTACTTATTACTCATTTTTTGTGAGTATATTTTCAAATTACTAAATGATGCATTTTCTGCAAAAGCTTTCTATATACTCCGAAACTTCTTCTTAAAATCAAATGAATGTACCTTTTATATTTATAATAGTTAATACTTACTTAACCATACACTAACAATATAGTTCATTCGTCCCAGAATATAAGAAGTTTTAGAGTTGGACACGGTTATTAAGAAAATAGGTACATGGTTGTGATTGGATGAGTAATATATGGAGGTAGGTGGAAAAAGTAAATGGTGGGGGGATATGATTGATTGGGAAGAGAATGTTGGTGGAGAAGTTGTTAAATTTAGGACAAATCCTGAGAACTAAAAATTGTTATATTTTGAGACGGAGAGAGTACCTGTTACTTGTCCTGCTGATAAGCTTAGCTGAAAAAGCACAATCGAAAGCGGCCTAAGGGTGTGTTTGGAATCCCCCTTTCCCAACTCTCTACTCTCATTTTTCACGCGCACGCTTTTCAAACTGTTAAACGGTATGTTTTTTACAAAAAGTTTATATACGAAAATTGCTTAAAAAATCACATTAATCCATTTTAAAAAGAAAATTAGCAAATATTTAATTAATCACGTGCTAATAGACCGCTCCGTTTTCCATAAGCACTGTGCGCGTGTTGGGATCCAGTGGCGGCGAACATAGCCTAAGGCTCCGTTTCAATTGGCGGTTGGATTTAGCTTGTTAGTAGCATTGAAAACAAGTCAAGTCAATAATAACACATGATTAGCCATAAGTAATTAACTATTATAATTTTAGAAATGCATTAATTTGATTTTTAAATTTAAAACCTTTTATTGTATTTTTTTTATAAAATATAGCATTTAGTAGTTCACGAAGGATTCTCACTGTAAATAAGGATTGCCCTAACCCAACCTCACTCCTCAGAACTAGGCCTAAGATGAGCTCAAGGGACTATGTGAGCGTCCATTTAAAACAGTAGGACTACTCAACAATCATCATGTGTAGTTGTGTGGGAATTTTGACTAATTTAAAACTGAAAATTTAACTATTAAGAATAGTGAAAAAGAATATCTTCCTTTGACCTTAGTATTTGATGAATAACATATAAATGCTTATATTTTAGAACATAAGGGATAAGTTATTTATGAAAAATCCACCATATCAAAGAAGACACAATAAAAAAATTGCCCTGATAAGATTGACAGGCGTCTATAGTTAAAATAGGTGGGTGGCGTCTTAAATCTCCTCATCACCTCCGGACCATTGGTCTAATCCTATTGGAGGCTTTATGTTGCCTTTATCCAATGACGTGGAAGGCTTGCGTGTTGCGTCCGTACTCGGTACTTTGCTTGGGTAGTTGGGTGGTTAGCACGTACGGCTACATCTCACGTAATGCTCCCGGTGCTGTACTTCATTAAGGAGATAGATTATGCATGCATCCCGCACATACTTGAAGAAATAAACACTCCATGTAGACTTCATCTTGTAGTTGTATGTATAAAACAATTAATAGTAGCAATCCACTCGACATGCAGAACGCTGGATATACTTTTATGAACTTCCCATGAATTCAGCATAGAAAACTAATATATTATTTGATCAAGTTCGGCTCCATCATTTTCACTTTGATACTATATATATGTATTCCTCAATCGATTGTCGTGGATGTGGTAATCGAATGGTTATCCATGACCTGTGTAATAAACTTTATATGTGGCCTGAGAAAAAGGTCCTCGTAATGCCTACTTACTTTATCTTTTTTCATTTGAACAAATAAGTGAGTGAGACGCTAATGGAATGTTCAAAAAAAAAAAGACGCTAATGGCACTTCGTCTTGGCATGACCCACGTTGCCACGCCAAGTCATAGACTCTCGAATCCACCATGTCATCGCCTGCTCATTTGGTCGTCTCCTTTACACCAAGAATCCACTGATCGTCTGAGTGTTAGGGTTCTAATTTGCATTTTGTCTATGGGACTCCAAATTCCTATAAATGACCTTGACCAGTGGTACCGGAATATTTTACCTATTACACACACCACATTCACTAATATATAAATATGACGTACCTCTGTTTCATAATGTGAGACTTTCTAGCATTACTCATATTTATATAGATATTAATGAATCTAAACACACATATATGTCTAGATTAATTAACATCTATATGAACGTGAACAATGTTAGAAAGCCTCACATTATAAAACGGAGGGAGCACGTGAGTAGTGGTGTACAAATGTATATAAAAAGATGTAGTGTAAAGTGAGTGTAACTCAACTGGTTATGTTTCTTCTGGTATAACCAGTCCATCTGAGTTCAAGTCTTAAATATGTGAGCTTATATTTACGGCTGACTATTCTTTTAGTGGCAAACTTCGGAGGTATTTATTGTGAAATCTTAAGATATGCTAGTCTAGTCTTTCGGAGATGTTTTAGTGACTTTATGAATCTTAATATATGTTGACTCAGTCTTTTAGATATGTGAATGCATGTGTTTATAGAAATGAGTACGCGTGCATTATGAGTGTTTGCGGTTGTACAACACTCAGGATTGCAACAATCCACAACACACAAGTCAAATCCCTTCTCAAAGGCAAGTTCTGAACTTTGGACGTTTGAAATATATATTTTTTTTCATCGGCATGCTCCGTACTCCGGAATGTTCATGTTTTGCCTCATTAAGGTAACCACAATATGTATCTAAAGTGGGTAGTAAGAAATAAACAGTTATATACATAGTGGGACTTGTAAATAACTAATATGGAGTACTAGGTAATATGCTTACTACCCAGGTATAAGGAATAAATAAATGGTTTCTTTCATTTCTCTCTCATGGCTAGTGGTTGTGAGCCCCAACTTATTATCCACTTTTATTGTTTTATTATTGTAACTTCCGTGACAATTAACATCCACTGATGCAAGGTTCACTCTTAATCCTTACACACAAAGTAGGTAGTAACAATACTAAGCATTGGTTTCTCTCTCATGGCTAGTGGTTGTGAGCCCCAACTTACTACTCACTTTTATTGTTTTATTATTATAGCTTCCATGACAATTAACATCCACTGATGCAAGATTCACGCTTAATCCTTACATACGAAGTAGGTACTAGTAACTATACTAAGCATTGGTGATGCCTTTAGGCTTTTAGTTGATGGGCCGGCCGGCCTTAATCTACTACGGCTGCGTTAGCTACAGGCTAGCTCGGCATTTTTTGGGCTTTGGCTCGGGCCGGCTTACTATTGGTCACACCTAGGAGTAAATATGAACTATACCTGTGTGGTGGCAATGACGGTCGCGGCGCGCGTCAACGCGTAGCGCATTCACCCTTCAAGTATTCCCTCGCGTGATCTCCGGCCGGCCTCTCGCTCCCCTTCTCTCTTAGCTTGCTAGCTGATGTACTTGCCGCGATCCAGCGACCTCGCGCTTCGTCTCCCATGGCAACGACGCAGTTGCTGTCCACCGTCGAGCACCGGGAGACGCTCCCGGAGGGCTATGCTCGGCCTGAGTCCGACCGGCCGCGGCTCGCCGAAGTTGCCACGGACAGCAACATCCCGCTCATCGACCTCGCCTCGCCGGACAAGCCGCGGGTCATCGCCGAGATTGCTCAGGCCTGTCGCACCTACGGCTTCTTCCAGGTCCCTAGCTAGCTCTCACACGCGCGCTCTAATTAATTAACTGAACCCGTACGGCATATAGCTTAGCTAGCTAGGTTTTGTGTGTTCCCACTGCGGGCTTCACAAATATTATGTCCAACCATGGCGACATCGCCTTGACGGCATTATTTTCTCCTTCAGTCGTCAAGCCTGCGTCCTCTTCAGAGCTCTGGGCTCTCTCTGAATCATCTGATGTATAGATACTGAAGTAAAAACATAAACCTTCCTAACTTTTCCTTTATTATAGGTCACCAACCACGGGATAGCAGAGGAGCTACTGGAGAAGGTGATGGCCGTGGCGTTGGAGTTCTTCAGGCTGCCGCCGGAGGAGAAGGAGAAGCTGTATTCCGATGAGCCATCCAAGAAAATCAGACTCTCTACGAGCTTTAACGTCCGCAAGGAGACAGTACACAACTGGAGAGATTATCTCCGCCTTCACTGCCACCCGCTGGAGGAATTCGTACCCGAGTGGCCCTCTAATCCGGCACAGTTCAAGTAAGCACACACTAGCTAGATATATATTATCGATCTTGGAAATAAATTAATTTCAGCAGATCATATATTCCCTCGTGACACGGAGACCTTGTGCTAGAACACGCAAGGTCAAGTTCGCTATATCCCACATGAGCGCGTCCGTTGGATGTCCCACCTGAGATATAGCACAACCCAAAATCAGCAAAACTGGCCGTCAATCCATGCGTTACACATTATTATCGATATTATGCTAAACTTTTAATCATATTAAATTTGTTGGTTGTCTTTTTAACCATATATAGCGACTTAGATTAAACAAGAATAAATGTCCGTTAAAGATCAACGAAGCTAAACCGAGAGTTTAAGATAGGTACAACATATCCTATTCTATAATAACTAAAACTAATTAAAGAGTCTATGTGTATTTATAATGACATGTTTGATTTAACATAAATTCTCAGTCCAAAATGTGATACTTTAACTAATTAACATATGAGCTTACGCAGAGTGTCAAATTATATAGTACAGATGTTGATAAATATTTAGTTGTTCTCACCCATGATCTATGCATATGGTTTTGGTATCAAATCCAACAATTTGATACCACTCAAACGATTAGTGCAGGCGCGCTCTAGATTAGAGTTGGGCTTTATGTTGATTGTAAGGGTGTTTCTCTGGGTGATCTCGTCTGTGTTCCTTTGTTGGTCTAGCGCCGGTCGGTCACGCTTAGCGCGGTGGCCGGTCCGATGCTAGCCTTCTCCCAGACCTGTGTGTTGGCACTATCGATGTGTGGGTGGTGGTATACTTTTTTCTTTTTTCCTAGTTACGACCTTGCATGGTTGTAATCTTGTAATTTTTTCCTGCTCTATCAATAGAATTTCGCACCGTCTCGTGCGAGTCATTCAAAAAAAATCCAACAATTTGTCAGGGCACACATATATATAATAAGAACTAAAATGCTGACCTTCTTGCCCCCCCCCTCCCATTTTTTTAATCCTTAAGTGGCCGGCCGCATGAGGAATAGTTACTACTTTCTCCGTTTCACAATATAAGTCATTCTAGCATTTCCCACATTCATATTAATGTTAATGAATCTAGACATATCTATCTATCTAGATTCATTAATATCAATATGAATGTGGGAAATGCTAGAATGACTTATATTGTGAAACAGAGGGAGTATTTCAGTTTGAGCAAAGAAATTGGCCAGACTGTATTTACAGCCTGCACACTCTTTCCTTCAAGGAAGTGTGTCCGCTCATCTCAATGGGTCTGTTCTATGCATGGCATGCGCTATATACAAGGCTTCTACAAACGTAGCGAGCTTGCGGCAAGCTAGCTAGTATCCCAATTGCCACCACAAATATAAGTATTTTATGAATAGCGCGCGATAAACATGACAAACCTTTGATTTTACTTTTGTTGCCAAATGCCAATAGAAAAAAGATCACAAGATTGATGGCATAAAAATGCTAATTACAAACTAATTAAATAAATTTATCGTGAAACAAACTAATTACATAATAGTATGCAACCTTTTCTATTTAAAATAATTTAACTTTATCAATAATACTATTGGTCAAAGTAGGACACAAGAGACTATATCAATATCTAACATGGTTATATTTGTAAAGGGTGAGAGTACTACAAAATGTACTCCTAACTAGCTCCTCGTAACTACTCCCTCTATTCACAAATAATCAGCATATATGGTTTATGCAGCGATACCAATACATTCCTACATACCACTTAAATTGGCATCGATCAACATGCAACACTGTTTCGTGTGTCCTGCACATACATCAAGGGTAATTTAGACATGATATTGCTTGCATGCATGCATGCACCACAATAGTAATAGTTAGTTTAAGAGATTTGCTCCGGTTCAACAAAAAGTATCTTGAGGTATTAGTACCTCACGGTACTAAATCATTTCTGATCGTTGGATTTAGTTGGGCAGGATGAATATTGTTAGATCCAACGATCTGATACCGTGAGGTATCGATACCTCGAAATACTTTTTGTTAGACCAAAGCAAATCTCTTAGTTGAATGGTACTACATGGAACAATGCATGCAAATAACCACTTAATACTTCACAGAAAAACAAAAAGTCACAAGTACCAAATATGCTCATCATTTCTGAATAACTTGAAAAAGTTAATTATTTGTGAATGAATGGAGTACTTCCTTAAAAGAATAGCTACTAGTTCGTAAAAAAAAAAACCATAGCTTAGATGCTGAAAGCTGTTTACTGTCGTTGAAAAAAAAAAAGCGAGTACAGTGCATGCCACAGCTGCAGCTGTTTAGATCTCTTTATTTTAAGACTGTTCTCTCTTTCTTTAAGACTACTGTTCTCACTTATTTTGATGTTCTCCTGTAGCCCTGTGACGTTGTAGACTTGTGGTGCATGCACCTAGTTCAACCAAATTCACATGTCTCCATTTGTATAACTACTAATTATAGCTTTATACGGTAATGGATGGTCACGTACTTACGATGCTAATTAACGGCAAAAACATTAAATACGTGCGTACGTACATCTAGCTAGCTAATTAGTAATTAATTAAGTTGTCGCACCTTCTTTCAAGTTGATAGATTTCATAGTATATCCCTGGCTAATTAATATGTGTATTTGTCCGGCGGTCCGTGTTTCACAATCGACCGGTCCACAACTTTGTTAGTATGCACCTCATATTAAACTTAGAGTTTTAGCTCATGGCCCGCTCAAATATAATGGTGTGACCGGCCGGCCATGCATGTATGGCGAGCACTTCACATGTTCAAACGATGCATACATGTATAGATCAATTCATTTTCTCCAGAAATACGCAGTGCAGTCGATAGATAATTATCATGCCAAGTCGATTGACACTTTTGACAGTTATCATGAGCTCATACCCCTCGGTGGGCCATAATGGTCGCTACGCGTACACGTAGGTGCTGCTTTTTTGCTGGTATGTATAATAAGAGGAATTTTTACGGTTATTGAGAAAATACTTAGATACCAAAACTTTACACTAAAAGCTTTTAGTACCTTGAGGTACTTACTACCTAGAGGTACGTACCAAATTTTACAAACAGAGATTTGCTACAGTCCAACAAAAAATAACTCAAGGTACTCACGGTATCAAATCGTTTTCGATCGTTAGATATAACGATATTCATCCTGTCTAGCTAAATCTAACGATCTAAAATGATTTGATACCATGAGATAACGATGCCTCGAGCTATTTTTATTAGACTGAAGTAAATCTCATAGAAAATATGGTACCTCTGCATACCTTCTTAAGGATAGTAAATTACCCATATAATAAAGATGGGATTAAGTGCCCGTACGTAGCGTATATGGTCCAGAACACAATTAAGTGCGGCGTGCATTATATGTGTACTGGTCGAATGGAATATGCATGCACATAAAGGAGTACTTGTGTCGCTCAATTAATTTGCAGAAGGGAGTGGCTCAGACAAGCTCCACCCTTACAGGGGAATCATTATTTCATTTTTGTTGAATACTAGCTAATATGGTCCTCAATTTTCACTTCGAGATCATTTTAGTCCCAGATATTCTATATTTAAAAAAATATCCTAAAACTTTGTCACGTAGCTTTGTATAGTCCTTGAGCCCATTAAAAAGGCCACGTAGAAATGTCTCGTCATTCTCTCGTGCAATGCCGGGTTTTTGTTGTTGCAAATTTCACAATATGTAACTTAAAAGGTGAGATCCACGTCCATTGCATTGGCACATGAATGAATAGGACCGAGGAGGAATAAGATGACAGAGAACAATATTTTTCTTCCATTCCTTTTGGCCTATTTATATACATAGACAACTCAACGTATGAACTATATTATATAGCCTACCCTCATAATGTGAGATTTTCGTTTTCCATTGGCTGCCCTTAAATATCCATTCTACCTTCATGTACAGTAGAATAAAAAGGAGGGAATTTATGGATGGAAGTTAGCTAAATAAGGGGTTGTATATATATTTTAAAACAAAATTTAAACGTTAGAAATATAATTTACAATGGAGTGAGTATTTGTTAAGAAAAGAAGGAAATTTCCGGAAACAACGATGTCCCAAAACCTCGTCTAGCTACCTAATCCAAAAACTTCTACGTTTTACTTTGGAAACAGTATCCCTCAACCTCCGTTTAGTGTCACTCCTTCTGTCCCATTTTAAGTGTAGACGTGGGTTTCTATATCCAACGTTTGATCGTCCGTTTTATTTGAAATTTTTTATGATTAATATTTTTATTGTTATTAGACGATAAAAATATGAATAGTGTGCTTTATGTGAGATTTATTTTTTTATTTTTCTTATATTTTTAAAATAAGATGAACGATCAAATATTAAACACGAAAACCCATAACAACACTTAAAATAGAACGGATGGAGTAGTTAGCAAATCTTCCACATGCCGTTATAGTCGCACGGTCCGCGGTCGCAGCCATGCCTAGAAGTCTACAACAACCGAGCAATACAGTTCAATCACGTAGAAGACTAATCACCCTACCAGAGACATGCATGAACTTGCGAGATTTTTACTCGAGACAAATCGTGGAAAAGGTAAACCGCACCCTTGACCTCGCAAAAAGAAGGGGACCGATTCTTCATCGGTCTCCTACTTCGTCTGTTAATTCCAAAATCCAATGTGCTGGAGTAAAATCAAGCTAGCTGAAGTCCAGGACAGCAACTAGTTTCAGTAAAACGCCAAAATTAAGGCGTGGACGCTTAATTTTCCGTTGCACTTTTTCCTGGCATGCAGGGAGATTATGAGCACGTACTGCCGAGAAGTCCGGCAACTGGGGCTCCGGCTTCTCGGCGCCATCTCTGTCAGCCTCGGCCTCGAGGAGGACTACATCGAGAAGGTGCTCGGCGAGCAGGAGCAGCACATGGCTGTGAACTACTACCCGCGGTGTCCGGAGCCGGACCTGACCTACGGCCTTCCCAAGCACACGGACCCCAACGCCCTCACCATCCTCCTCCCCGATCCCCATGTCGCCGGCCTCCAGGTCCTCAGGGACGGCGACCAGTGGATCGTCGTCAACCCACGCCCCAACGCTCTCGTCGTCAACCTAGGCGACCAGATACAGGTCATATAGTACATAATCATACTACATTCATCCCAAAATATAACAACTTTTAAGTAGATGGGACATAATCTAATATTACAAATCTAGACATGAGGTTTGTCCATATTCATAGTACTAGATTAAAATTGCTATATTTTGAGACGGATGAAGTATTAATTATGCATTCTCCACTTATTTCAAAATAAATTAATCTAGTACTAATATATTCTAGTAATATAAATCTGGATAATTATGCTATTAATTTATTTTGAGCCGGAAGGAGTATAAATTTCTGTCATTGCAGTGTGTGTACCGTCAGGCTGAACTGCTGATATTTATGCAGGCTCTGAGCAATGACGCGTACAAGAGCGTGTGGCACCGTGCGGTGGTTAACGCGGTGCAAGAGCGCATGTCGGTGGCATCTTTCATGTGTCCGTGCAACAGCGCGGTGATCAGCCCGGCGAGGAAGCTCGTCGCGGACGGGGACGCGCCCGTGTACCGGAGCTTCACCTACGACGAGTACTACAAGAAGTTCTGGAGCAGGAACCTGGACCAGGAGCACTGCCTAGAGCTCTTCAAAGGCCAGTAGTAACGACTAATGAACTCGATCGTGTGCAGAAACTTCAGACTTGCGCTTCACTACCCAAGTTAAAATTGCTTGCCGCTCGTTGCTGCAGTGCAGATATCCTCGTCGTTTGACGGTTGTGTGTGGTTGTCTGGTGCACTTAATTTATCGGTTCAGTACTTAATTATGTCGGGCAATGCTTTACTTATTTTATCGATGTTATGTATCACATAATGCTTTGGTTATTCCTAAAACTTCCAATAAAATTGGTATGCCTAATTACCCTCAAACAGTATCTTCATTTTAGATAGCCTTTCCTCAGCGTGTGGTTGGTTGCAGATGGCGGTTTGCTGGAATCTCATTAATTATAAGATGCTCGTTTATTGCATTGCAACGGGATAAGAAGATAAAAGTAGATCAAATTTCTTTCTGCGCTGATTTTACACAAATGTGAAATGAGGGCAGCTCGACTTGTTAGATTTTTTATAGTAAAATCAGTCTACCTGGGTTTAAATTTTAGATTTGATACGGATGCTTACATTTACGGTTAATTATTCTTTCAGTGGTAAGCGACGTACTTGTCGACAACGAGGCGTCCTAGTGACTTCGTCAATCTCAAGTTATGCTGCCCTAGTCTTCCAGAGATACTCATAGGGGTAGAGTGTGTGTACGTTGCCAGCGAGTCGCTCGTTGTGACTTCGTCAATTTCAAGATATTTCGGAGGTATTTATAGGAGTAGGGTTTCGTGTGTGCGTTCATATTGATAAGTGTACATGCATTGTGGACGCCTACGTTTGTACTGTGTTTCTAGAAAAAAAAATAATCTTATGTTGATTTTTCAGTTTGGTACGGTCCTTTACAAATGTTTACTATTTTGGAATATCCTCCGGTGGAATCTCATTGAACCTTTTCTCATGCGTGGACTCCATGCATGCATGTTATTTGAATGTTGTAGTTGCGATCGATTACGAGGAAATATGGTAACAGGCCCTAGAGAAAAAATAGATATGAACTTGCCGAGCAACAGCTCTTTACAAGATGTTTTTTTTTATTATTGCTAAACACAGTACAACACAAACGCCTATAAATACACGCACACTTACAACTATAAACACATATTCTATCTCGAGATAAGTATCTACAAAAATTGAAACAATATATTTTGAGATTGACGCTACGTTGACATGCAAAGATTTTGCAGAAAGATTCAGTGCTCCGTAAAGGTGATTTGCGACTTCCTCCACATGAGCAAATGCAGAGACTGTGATTTTTGTTCCATCATCTTAAAAAAAAAAAGAGCACATCAGTAACATCTGCGGAAGTGCCTGGATGCTATGTATATATGGACTGAGTTATCAGTCAAAACATATTTAAAAACTCAAATATTAGGAAAAGATCTAATATCAAATAATTAAAAGGGGTGAGGCTTTGAACTTAGGTCGTCTAGCCCACCATCTTGTGGAGCTAGCCGGAAAACCCTTGGAAATTTCTCAGTCAAAACATATTTCACTCACATGTCTATTGTTTAGCGTCACATAGATCTAGATTGGTAGTGCTCCACTTTGTTTTATTTTTTTCGAGAAAGCTAGGGTAGAGGAGCACCTTTTTTAGTGGTATAACACGTCGCATCGGATGTAAGGATATATTTTGCATGGCCTGTTTATGGATCACAATCTTTTCCTTTTTCAAGAAAAGTTTATGGACCATAATCAGACGGCCTGATCGTTAGGCCGGAACCGGTCTAAGCAGCTGGCGGACTGGAGGCCCATGTTCCAGAATTCGTCGTAGTAGGCCTGGTACTTGAAGGGCCGGTACGCCAGCGGGTGCAGGGCGCCGTCCACCAGCGCGCCGGCCGGCGCGATCACCGCGTCCGGGGACGGGCAGTAGAACGTCGGCACGGAGATCCTCTCGCTCTCGCTGTTCACGATCACCCGGTGGAGCACGCTCTTATACCGGTCGTTGCTCAGCGCCTGCACGAAATTTAATCAGTTAATCAATCGATCGGCCTAAATTAATTGATATACTCAGTAGATGGAACTGCGTATAATATTTACGATTAGTACACATACCTGGATTTGATCTCCGATGTTGATGACCAGGGCGTCGGGCACGGGGTTGACGGCCACCCAGCGGCCGTTGCGCTGGACCTGCAGGCCGGAGACGCCGTCCTGGAGCAGCAGCGTGATGGCATTGGGGTCCTTGTGCCCCGGCAGGCCGTAGGTGAGCTCCGGCTGTGGGCATGGCGGATAGTAGTTCACCGCCATGTGCTGCGCCTGCCGCCCCATGGCCGACACCATGTGGCCCCTCTCCAGCCCGAGGCTCTCAGATATCGCCTCCAGCAACCGCAGCGCCAGCGCCCTCGCCTCCCTCGAGTAGGTGCCGACCACTTGCCTAGTACAACATGTTAAATTTGTCAATTTTTACCATCTTCCATGTGCGTAGGCGTAGCCTATGTTCCATCTTTGCATTTTTGACTTTTTAAACATTCATGATTTACGTCCAGGGCTGACCTGAAGGAGGGTGGGTTGGAGGGCCACTGGTCGATGAAGCTCTCGAGAGGGTAGCAATGCAAGCGCAGGAAGTCGCGCCAGTTGCTCACCTTCTCGGTGCGCACGTTGAAGCTCGTCGACAGCCGGATCGCCTTCTTGGGGTCGTCGGAATAGCACTTGAGCCGCTCCGACTCCGGCATGTGGAAGAACTCCCTCGCCACGCGCAGCATCCCTTCCACCACCTCCTCCGGGATCCCGTGATTCTTCACCTATATTTTCATATCGTAAACCACCGTCAGATCCACTGTTCAAGCAGGCCTTGCCGATGGCCACGATCAGTCTCACTCTCACGGATGTGTTATGGCGCGTGCACGTACCATGAAAAAACCGTCGGTTTCGCACGCCGAACCGATGGCCTCGACAACCTTGCGGCGATCCGGGCCGTCGAGCTGTTTCAGGTCGATGACCGGAATGCCGGCGCCGGACTCGTGGTCGACGTTGTCGAGGTCCGGGCGGTCGCCAACCGGACGAATGTGGCTCGAGGGGACTTGCCCGGATTGTGCCACCAGATCGCTCAGGAGAGGCTTGGCAATGGCTGGAGCCATGTTAATTACAGCCCTAGGGATGGCTGGAGATGGAATGCCCGTGTAATGGTTAGCTGGGGCTACTCGCTGCCTTGATCAATTAATGAGGTTTTAGTACATGTATTTCGGTCTGCCCTGCGGCCTTTTATAGGCGAATTAACTTCGCTTTACCACACCTAGCTAGCCCATGAGGAGAGAATCCTTTTTGGAGACGCAGATGGGACAGAAAAAATCGAGTATTGATTGACCTAGTTGTGGTGCGATATACAAGAGTAGTCTTTGACTAATGGCTGCGTTAGATCAACCTCGACCAACCAATTGAGCATATAACATGTTAGTTGTACAACGCAAAGGTGTCGTAGTTGTTGATCTGGTAAACCAGACGAGGAACGATCGAACAGATCGTTTTCCTCCAGCTCTGCACTTTCGTGCGTGCGGCGCAGTCGGTAGTACGGGTAGTATTCGAATCATTCTGCCGCTTTCGGGTTTCCTCCTTGTCAGCCGGTTTGGTGCCGACTTGTTGAATTGCGGCTGAGGCTGCCATTTATCAGAACGTGAGCTCTTACCCCGCCGCTGATGTCTTCGTTCTAGAGAGTCTGCGTCGATCGCCCTCCGTCGACACCGGTACAGGACGGCCGCCGCCGGCCGGCGGCGTGCCGTGAACGTTACTACTAATAATTTACAACTGACCGGAGATTAGTCTGACACGCAGGCATTCAATCTGCCACGCATTGTGCTAATTTCCCACACGATTATTTCAAAGCCACGGCTTAATAGAGTCCTTTTCTTTTTGCAGGGAAGCTTAATATAGTCTTAAAGAACGCAAAAAGAAAATTAGTTACTCCATCGCGACAACGTTCGCCACGGCCACATTTTTCAATCGAGAAAACTGCCAAGGCACCGCAAGGGAGGATATATATTAAAATGGCGACACGCATCCCACGCGAGACGGCCGCAAAAGGGCACAGCAAAGAGCGGCACGGGCCTGACGCCGGGTATGGCCGGCGCACCGACATGCTAGCTATCAATCGTCCACTGTGCGATCAAGCGATTGCTACAGCACCAGAGGGGAGTATCTGTTTCCCCCGGCCTACCTGTCGAAATCGATCGGGATCTCTCACTCGATAATTGCGATGCGACGGGCATCAACTACAGCCCGGGAGTCTCCGATTACGAAAATGGCGGTCACGAAGATTCCCGACCGATCAAATATCATTTTTATAAATGATAACATTTTTATCTAGTAACATATAAAATTTATTTAATTTATTCACACCTTTTAGTACTGTTTAAAAATATAATTAAAGTTTGATTAACTGAAAATGGTTTTCGAACACATGCTACTAATCATACCATTTCTAACCGTTTTTATCCCGTCATCGAGCCCCTGGACAAATCTAGCGAGTAGTTCGGTCGATGCTAGTTGCCGGTTGCTCTCGCCGGCCTCATCGATAGAAGCTGCTACTTCACGATATTATGTGCACAGTATTTTAGTGAGAGACAGCGAGATGCTACGTCGGCGCTGAGGGCTTCAATATGCTGGCACGCTGTCGTCAGGAAGGATGACGTCATCCCGATGACTTCACGGTGACACGGACGCAAAATGTATACAGTTGCTAGGCATCCGTGTGCTACTAGCTAGCTTGTCAAAGGAGTGACGGCTGGGAGGCTACGTGTACAGATCGGCCAGTTGCGGCGCTTTAGGGTCCCTTTGAATCACATGATTGAGAAAACGTAGGAATAGGAAAAACGTAAGATTTTGATAGGAATGTAAGTGTAAAACAGATGATTGCAAAACGCAGGAAAAACACAGGAATGACCGTTTGATTGAACCACAGGAAAAACACAGGAATTTGATGAGAGATATAGACTCAAAGGAAAGTTAGCAAGAGGTTGAAGCTCTTGCTAAATTTCCTCCAAAATCTCTATAGGATTGTCCATTCCATAAGAATTTCAAAGGATTAGATAGGATTCAATCCTTTGTTTCAAAGGGCTTCATAGGAAATTTTCCTATAGGATTGAAATCATCTAAATTTCCTATGTTTTTTCTCGAAATCAAAGGGGCCCTTATTCTAACTCGAATTCCGGCGGATCGTAAAAATCTCTTAGGCATATTTCCAAATTTACTTTTGATAAGCATATTTCAATCCAACCACCTATTCTCTTAGGCCATTCCTTACCTAATACACTAGACATAGTTTCCATAAACTCCATATCATCAAAAAAAACTAGTACTAAATACTACTCTTCCAATACAAACACCACTACTCCCTCCATCCACAAAAGTTACACCTATTTCATGTTTGAGTCTTTCCAAATAAGTTGTTCTTATTTGTATTCTTTATATATTGAAGACTTAAATAAAGAGATAAATTAAATGTTTTATTAGAACCTAAGGAGTCATCTAAAATACTCATTGGTTGCATGGTTGCATTCACTCCTTGATTTTCTAACATCCAAGGTGATTTAATTTTTTCTTGATCTTGGTGTCAAAATTAATATGTGTAACTTTTGTGGATGGATGGAGTATTACATACTTAATTTTAATGTTACTTATCTCACATGTTATCTTGGATGTTGTGTAGAAACCATGTCTCATGTAAGACATGGTTTCTTTCTCTTTCTTCATTTATTCAGTTGCCACATCATTTTTCATTCTAGGTAGCAGCTTATTTAATGCTATGGACACCATCCTAGTCATTGATTTGGGAATGGCATTAATGACTTTCTCTGATTTAATACGTGACTCTCCATTCTTCCACATAAGATTGGCTACATGGGCATCGAGAAATATAAATATTAGAATCGCTTGTTTACGAGGAATAACCAGTACTCCATCCACAAAAGTTACACCTATTTCACATTTGAGTTTTTCCAAATAAGTTGTTCATATTTGTAGTCTTATATGCATTCAAGACTTAAATGAAGAGATAAATTAAATGTTTTATTAGAACCCAATGAGTCATCTAAATACTCATTGGTTGCATGCTTGCATTCACTCCTTGATTTTGTAACATCCAAGGTGATTTAATTCTCCTTGATCTTAATGTCAAAAGTAATATGTGTAACTTTCGTGAATGGAGGAAGTATCATGTTTAAATGGATGATAAGTAGAATTACTTATCATTAGTCATTGTGACAAGATAAAATATTACAATCAAAATAGATGGAGGGAGTATGTCTTTTTTAGAAGTTAGACCCCAATAAACATACCACAATATTATTCGCTAGTAGCATTTATTATTCTAAACACACCATGTATAATTTATTGCATTGTAGAGCTCAGTATACACACATATCAAATTGTCTTTCCCAATATCGTTTTCATAATATTGTAATATAATTTATACATTTTTTCTGTAATATATAACTTACATTCATTTATCTATTTGGTAGCAAAGTGCAACACGTCCTTGAATCAGGTTTCTCGCTTTGTTTTTGTCGGAACTTAAATTTTCTAGCGCGTGCATCAGATGTGAGCTGGGGAGGCATTTTCCACCTAAGTTAGGTAGCCGCATGTTACCAGAGAACTTGACACACGTAACTACGTACAGAGAACTACGTTTTGGTGCAAGGATTCGATTTGTGTTTTTTTAAAAAAAAATTGTGTAATATTACAATTCTACATAGATTTGTGAACTTTAATTTTGCACCATGTCATATTAAATTTCTAGGACATGGATGATGCAAGCAAGGAAGGACCATCTATTGTTTGAGAAAAATACTTGGATAATAAAACTCATACATAAAAATAGGGGTCCGCTTCATCTTAGACCTAATGTCCTCAACGATGAGAAAAATAGCTTGGCAGTTATGATAGAGGATAATTGAAAGTACCGGTGGCATCAAGGTTGGATGGATTCAGCCTAATGGTCATTCCCCTCCAGGCGACAAAGGTTGTTATAGCTAGAAGGGAAGACGGCCTTATTAGCGGTGATAGTGGCGATCAGGGTGGTTGGATTGGCCAAGCACACCTACTCTTTCTCGGTATTGGTCTGGCCCGCCACCACCTCTGTTATCACTAGACAAGTTGTCTCTGGGACCGAACACCTACCCCCTCCCCTATCACGGATCTGGTCCACACCAGCGATAGTGGCCAACCACCTCACAGTACAACTTCTCTCGCTGGCTAGCTCCTGCACAAAGCGAAAGCACCTCCGCTAACTCTACGCCGCCGACCAGCACCTTCATCGTGGCCTCCTCTTCCTTGCTCGCCCATGCGCTCGCTATGGCAGTGCCGCCATTGTTCATCTGCTGACAATGCCCACTATCGTAGCCTAGAACATATCTATTTTTGGGAATCAGATCCGACCTTTGCGACATCAAATTGACCGTGCAGTTTAGGATCCGCCACTGACCCGGTGGGGATGCAGTCATCGGCCTTCGCTATCACTGGCTTATTGGCGGTTTTAAGTTGGGGATACGGTAGGAAGGAGGAAAGCCTGCCACCTTCCTCACGCTGTGCAGATTTTCTGGCAATTTGCTCAACTGAGGTAAGATAGGGGAGATGAGGCGGATAGCACAACGGCACGGGTGCTAGGGTTTCGTCCGCGTCACTCAAACTAGTGGGACAATGCTAGATCGAGACCGAGATGTGATGTGCATTTTGATAATTAAATTGGGGCATGTCCTGATATCAAAATAGATAATTGTTTCTTAATAGTTTCAATATCACGAAATGACATCACTATATACAACTCACATTTGGTTGTCTCTGGTCGTTTCTCTAATGGAGTACTTTTAATTCTCACGTGTGCTACAAATTATTTCTAGAAGGGTTGACAAGTACAACACAGAAAAAAAAAGTACACAACCCACAATATATGGGTATTGAACTGTTCTTTACCAATTAACGACAAGTACAAAAAAAAAAGGAGTTCATATAACCGTATTGTGTTGTCTCTTCACCAATAGATGGTGCACTTTTCTCTCTTACCTCTTTTTTTTATTTTTTATGAAAAAAGAAAATCTGCATGCCACTGATAAATACACCGAGATAATATGCTTTAATAAGAAAGGAACTTTTCTTAAGAAAAAAACGTTAGGACGTTATTCTATACCTACATATTTATTGTGTAATTAAGTAAGAAATTTACCTTAGGTCGCCTAAATTCCTTGGTCCACCACTAGTCCGCTAGTATCCCAATATATGTTGTCTTTTGTAACTGAGCTAGAATCCTATGGTTAAGTCAAATTAAATATGATCGAATATTTTAGTGGCCGGGTTACTATTAGCTAAAAAAGGTGACAAACTAGAATCCAATAACTAAAGCTAGAAAATTGCCTTTGTTCTTCACTCTTTTTGTTAAGCGGTAGAAAGAGTTTTGACAAACTTTTCTCATTAGTCAAGTATTAGTACACACAGTTATACAGTTATATATAAGACATTATTCTTCGTCTCAACTTTCAAGGTTGCAACCTAGCAAGAAAACTGCCTTGGTTGATCATCGACCTTTTTTTAAGCTGTGTTTGGTGCAAAGGATTGTGAACCCTTTCTTTGTACGTAAAAACGAAATGATGAATTAACACATAATTAATTAAATATTAGTTTTATAAAACTAAAAGAATAAATTGATATAATTTTTTAAGCAGTTTTTTATGAATTTTTTAATAAAATATATCGTTTAACAGTTGAGAAAAACATATACATGAAAAATAAGAGAGCAAAATTGGAAAGATGAGTATAAAACACAGCCAGCAGAACCATTTCTTTCTTATAGGCCTGTAGGGAGGTGCTGTCTAGTGGCTGCCCCCTGGAAGATGCTCAGAAAAATGAATGCAGGTTCCAGTAAGTGCGGCCTATTGCCCTTTATACTTTCTAAAATAGAGAATGTCCCTAGCATTTGTGCTGCTTTGTTAAAAAAAATAATACTGTGTTCGTCCTAAAATATAGTAATATAGTATCAGATGAGACATATCCTACCACTATAAATCAGAATATAATATACGTTTAAATTCATAGTGATATGATACGTTTTACAGTATTACATTGCTATATTTTGAAATGGGGTATTACTTTTAACCATTACAAGTCTAATAAAATCACTATTAGCTTTGCGGCACTTAAAAACAAGGTAGTATAAAGTAATAAACTATTAGTGAACTTGGGAAAAGAGGGGTCCTTTTTCATTTTAAAAGAACGAACATAAGTTCTTTTTCATGAACAAAGGGTTAAAGATCTGGCCTTGCTGATGCTAGACATAACAATCAGAAAAAAAAAAAAAAGAAAAGGAACGACCAAGGGGACGATGGTTGAAAGGAAGCAGCCGAAGCGAACGAGATGAGCAACGCCACCACCTACATGGAGAGCGTCGCTTCCTTTTGTGCTCTTGGCAGCTCCAAATCCTTAGCGCCTCCAGCACGATTGATTTAATGCAAAGAATTTTGCTTTTGTTCATCTCCTTTCTTTCCTCCCGCCACTTATCTAGAAGCTGCTGCTGCGGCTTCTAGCCGGCCACCGGCAGGCTATAGAGCGACAGAGGGATAAGCAAGAGATAGATAGAGGAAGGGAAGCAGAGAGAAAAGAAACAATAAAGGCTGACATGTGAACCCATGATTTTTTTTTTCTTGTGACTAACATATGGGACCCATGTTTTTAAGTTGTTATGTTATAAGTAAGCGTCACGTTAGATAAATACTTAGCCAGCATGTCACATGGCGTCATGTAAGATGGAACCGTCATTCAAAGCGTCGAGAGATTCGATTTGCATTAGTTAGGGGACGCAAATGAAACTCAACCTGTAGTTGAAGAATCCAAAGTAGGCTTCTTTCATCAGAAAAAACATCAACGACTGGGTTTTCTTGTGTAGATAATTGGGTTAATTTCTATTTAAAGAGTTTCCCACCTCCTCGATTACGCTCCCGCATCGCCGTCCCCGTGCGACCCCGCCTACGCCGTGTTCTCCCGTCCATCCTCCCCGGCGACCGCTCTCAATGCCGTGCCCTTTCTTGCTGTCACGCCGGGCCGGCCAACATTCTCCGCCTCTACGCCTGCGAGGACTCCTCCCTTTGTCGCGTCAGTTGCAAAGACGTTGCTACCTGCGGCCGCGCCGCGGCTAGTGCTAAGTCAGAGTGCTGCTATCCACTGTCCGACAGCAGCATGTGGGCTTTCACAGAGTTCGAATGTCGGGAGTTTTTGAGCTGGGTCAAGAACTGGTCGGCCGCGGCAGGAGCGGCGCTAGGTGTTGTGAGGGGGGTCGAGGTAGAGTGGGACGTGCCGAAGGGCAGCGAGATGGTGACTTGCGCCGATGGTGCGGTCCTCGTCAATGCCACGGCGGTGCGCGGTGGCATGTGGTGTGCATACGACGCCGGCCTCATCGGGGACGGTTTTGCACGGGGCACTGTCTGCTCAAAAGGCACACGTATACTCTCCATGATTGTGCCCGCCGTGTGTCACGCGAGCAATCACTGCGAGTTCGAGAACTTTCGAATTCAAATACTTAATGTTTGCTTGTATGCATGTTTAGCCTGCAGCAATTCTGGGCAGGAAAGTGACGACAGGGAGTGTTTTTTCACCTGGAAGGCTGAAGTAAGGTCATCCGAGTATATTAAGAAGGAATGAAGTTAAAAGAAAAAAAACTCAACAGAAGCTGTCGAGGTCGGAGAAACCTCTAGGAACTGGCCCAGGCCTCCTCCATCCCGCCATCCGCCGGCCTCCTTGCCAGTTTTGGCTGAAGGAGAGCCTGGAACTGGACGGCGTCGTGTCGGTGGTCTGAGGCTCTAAGCTCCCCTCGCTAACCAACTGCCGCCTCAATCCAACATAGGAACTCCCCAAAGAGAAGGGGAGGAACTCCAAGAAGAGTGAGGGTGCAGACCGGTAACGAGGAAGACGACCCACCGCCGCTAGCTCCGTTAGCACTGCCATCACTCCCTTTACACCCGGCCTCGGGGCATACGAACTGCCATGTACACCCCAACGCCACCACCGCTGCACCAAATGGCCAGACTGCAGCCTCCGGGCGGACCACCTCACCGTTGCCGTCCGACCGCCCATGCCGCATCACGCCGACCATGGGCCATGTTCTGGCCACGCCCTCCGGGAAGGCCACCGCCGCCGTCTGCCCAGGCCACGCCACACTTACCCTAGGCCGTCGCCCGACCGCAGATGGCCGCCGTGCGCTGGGCCGCAGCGCCCCACCGGCGCATGCGCCGTGCCGCGACATACGCGCCGCCTCCGAGCCCCGGCCATCGCGCCGAGCATGGGGCGGCCAGATCCGGCCACAGGGCGTTGGATCTACCGTCCTCCGCCCAGGACATGCTGCGTCGCCGCCCTGCGTTGGCCCACGACGCCCCACAGCCCACCGCGCGCCGCCGTCGAGCTCTGGCCGTTGCGCCGCCCGAACTAGACGTGGGGCAGCCAGATCCAGCTACAGAGGCACCGAATCCGCCGCCACCCCGAGGCGCCTCGCCGTCGTCGCCTCCAACCGTGGTGGTAGGTGTCGTTAGCTCAACTCTGCCCTCCTTGCACCAAGGAAAGGGTCGCCAAAGTGGAAGGCCTCGCTGCCGCCTTCCTAGCTCACCGCTGACGTCCTCCAATGGCGGCAAGGTGGAGAAAGAGGAGGGGGTGTGGCGGCGCGGGCGGCTAGGGTTTCGCCCCCCGAGCCGCCCGCACGAGAGCGACGCGGGGGTCCTACAACCACTTCTGCGGCATGGAGTGTTGCCAGGGAAGGTTTTGCACCAAGAAGTCAGTTGCTCTTGCCGGTAATTACACACTCCATGCGTTCCATTGATTGGTCGCATTTGCCCATCAATCTCCACTAGCTGATCCCTATTCCACGGATAGGTTCTTTCGTCTCGCTCTTCTTCCTCGCGGCAGCCTTCCAAGGACACCCTATAGGACTGGGACATCGACCCGGCGTGCATCCCCAAGATCCTCGGGGGCGCGTGCAACGCGAGGCAGTTCACGTACGAGCAGCTGGACGACAGGACGAGGTGACCAAGAGGTTCGACAGCGACAAGGTCGTCAACGTCGTGGACGTCACGGTCCACGCCGTTCTCGACGACGGCAGTCACGGCACCGTGGTCGCGGTGCAGAGGATCAGCTCCTCTCCGAGGTCTCGCACCGGAACATCGCCCGCGCCGTCGGCTTCTGCCCCAACTCCAGCAACCCGGTGCACGAGCACTTCGCCGGCGGTACGCTGGAGCTGCTGACGGGGCTGAGGCACCAGCATCCGTTCGACTCGGTTGCGCCCAAGCTGAGGGAAGGGAGGCTTCATGAGGTCATCGACCCGACGCTCCTCACCGGGAAGCAGCTGCCGGCGCCGAACGAGGAGGTGAGGAAGATGTTCGAGCTCGCCGTGATGTACATGCTGAGCGCCCAGAACGGGCTCTGCATGCTCGGCGTCGCCAAGTAGCTGATGCAGATCGTGAGGAACAACATCGGGAGCAGCAGCAAGATTGAGATATCCCTCGAAGAGACATTTCTCGAGCTCGAGCCTGCTGCAGATGATCTCCATGTCGCCCAAGACGCTGCATCACCATCTTCCTTGAAGAGAGAGCTAACTGCAGAGCTGCACCACCATCTCATTCACCTTGAATGAAGAGGATCTATGATGCCCGTGTTAAGGTTCGGAGCAAATTTCACCGTCCCAGTGAAGCCTGTGAAACATTCAAACTGTCAAAAGCCCGTCTATAATTGCTGCAAGCCTCCGCAATACAGAAGAGTATGGAGCGCAATAAGCTCCGATGTACTTACCGGGTTACTCTTCCATCTTTATGCTTCCCTAGATCTTCCCTCTCAACCTTGGTGAATTGGGTCTGCGTCGCAAATATTTCTCGGAGAAGGTAGCTGCTGCAAACTTTACAAACAAGAAGGACAGACACTTGCAGTATTCATCAGAAAGGTTAAGGGCATAGGACAGTCATGCACAATTATCAGTAGTTCAGTACACAGGTTATTTGTCTAGACCAGCTTCAGGGAAGCTGTGCCATTGTTAACCCAAATTTCAAGCAAGGTCTACAGGGAACTTAGTGCTGCAAACCGCGATGGCATATGATAGCCTGCACACAAATCCATTGGTGCATTTCTCCATCAAAGGATGAAAAGAGACCATGAACAATTGCATGAACTTAAATACAAAAATATTGCACATTTATGGTTTATCACCATGTGCCTTTTCTAAATTAGTATGCAGAAAAGCATAGCACTTTCTTAGAAGACAAATGGCAGAAAAAATAAAAGATGGATGCCATATTCTGATAGGTTCACTTTCATCATCCTAAGAAACCATTGAGAGCCATCAAATTCCTGAATGCTTCCTAGCGCTGTGAACTGAACAAAGCACGGCTGACAATACCAGTTGCCTCAATGTACCGATCAACACACCGTGATATGCAGCTACTCTCACTTCCACTCAAGCTTGTTCCTGGTTTAGTGACACACTTTGCAAAGCATTTGTTTCCAACAGTCTGCAACATCAAGAAGAAAAATGTAAGCATCCCAAAATCAATACATACCTAAATGTAGTTTTCTAGACAGTTAATGTGAAATAAGGACGTATGTGGTACATCTGGTCATGCAAGTATAATGCTTTCTAGTTTCAACAATGACATGACAAACTTATATCTACTCCATGTCTTTTTGCTCCAGTGCTACAACTTTTACCATTTAAATTTCATCCCCTGGGTTTCACCATGGACAAACAAACCGATGAGATATAGTCTACACACAACTAGAAACTGGAAGATTATGCACTACAATTAAATTAAGTCAGTGTCTCCCTGATTGACTAGATAGTTGGACTGATACAAGATTCAGAGAGTTGCTCATCACATTCAACCCCAAAAAGGGCAAGGTAAAGCATGCTGAGCCAATTGGAACACTGAATCAAATTTGGAAAATAAGTATATCATACAGAATATTCAGTAAAGCTTATCAATGCAGATTGTTAAACGTCTCAATTGATATAATATTATGTATTTCAGCTATCAGATGTAAACAGCAACCCTTCTGTATGTCTACAAGCCATTGCTCACTAGGCCGCTAGGCTCCTAAACAAAATTGGTGATAGTCATACTAAAAAAAACTGACATAAATTCAACTTGGTATTGAACAGGAAAACTTCAAAGGTATACATTAGCTGATCATTGCTAGTATTACAAACTAAAATTGTTTCTTTCGGTATCTAATTGGAAACATATGAAAATTGAAGACGATTTTATAACTAGACTGAAAGCATCCAGTTTGAACATACATAACTGCATACCGATTAGAGACATCTATCAGAAGAAAGGCATTCATGAATGGAAAGCAGTTTTAAGGGTGATTTTCAGTTTGAAGCAGTTTTGAACAAGGGTTCAGCACTTCAGCATCAGCTGTACACTAGAATAGTGCACTATAAACAGTCCAATATGGACCACACATCCCATGAATCAGAAATGCAAAATCCTAACACAGATGTGTTCATGTCCCTTGTTTTCATAGCACAAATACACGCACACATGTCTTGAGGTTAGCAAAAGAAAAAATCCCTTTAAATAGTTCTGGTACAAAAAGAAGGAATAAGGTTTGCTGTCAAGCTCTTAATGTATTTATGTAAAATCCTTGGTTCCATGAATCAACAAAATTTAAAAACAATAATACTAAACTAGGAAGTAGGAATTAGTTAAGCTAGCAATCAGTCTAAGTAACAATATTCTCTTTGGTTTGTATGACAGTTCGGAATGCTATATGGCATCCATCTAATGAAAACAAAGGTATTCAATTTGGATTTACTAGGAAACAAATGCTATATTTGATCACTTTGCAGATGATATTTTCGCCTTTACAGAGATAACAAGCCATGATGTTCAGTTTGAAGTGTGAAATGATAGAAGTAACAGTCTGGTAGCGCTCTTAAGGAGCATAGTTGAACCTACAGAAGTACACAGTATAAGTGTATAACTTTAAGAAGAAGATAAGAAGGGTGGGATCTACTTTCCTACATAATCAAAACAGGGCCAATGCACCCTGATGTTCCTGAAGAACTAAGCATGGTTATGATTGAGGTAAGGTAAATTAAGGAAACTATATCAATTAAGAATTTGCGTTGAAGAGAAGTTAATGGCAAATTGACCATTGTGAACAACGGCAACAAAGCTCTGTAGAAACCTGATCGTGAACAACGGATAAACAATGCACAGAGCTGCAAACCAAAAGGTTTCAAGACCACAAGCTAAATTAACTTAAGCAAACACAGTCAGCTGTGCTTGATCTTCTCCAAAGTCCAAACCTACCGCAAAACAGTGGCATTGTGGCACGTTTTTTTTTTGTTCCAATTGAGGCTTAATCATACAGATTTTACGCAACACTAGCCAAAACAACATATTCGCATGGTACTGATTTGGCAAGCATATTCAATCAAACTAGAGCTCTCATAGCATCGCCCCTAGACTCAAACCGACCTCCAAATGATCAAATGGAGCGATTGCGACTCGGTAGAACAATGGTGGAACCTTGTGGTAGATTCTCCCAACAACCCCCGCATTCCCCTGCGTACTCTGGTGATCTTGGTCTCCTGGGAAATATGGTGTGAGCGAAATGCAAGAATTTTTCGAAACACTGCATCGCCACCGGCATCCATCCTCGCCAAGATAAAAGAGGAAGGTCGGGCATGGGTCAAAGCAGGAGCCTCTAAGCTTCAAGAGTTCGGAATCTTGGGAGATACCACTTAACCATCACCTTTTGCGGGCTTAGTTCTTTTTTAGACTAGCCCTGTACATAATTCTATCGCTCTGTATTTTCTCCATCTCTATCAATATACGAGGCAAAGCTTTTGCCCTCCTTTCAAAAAAAAAAAAACATAGCATCGCCCCTAATTAGACGCGAGATTTGGGGATTCAAACCGGTGCCAAGCTAAAAGGATAAATCAATTGGTTTCACCTTAAGAGCTCCAATTTGAAATCCAGCACAGAAGAGAATCCTCTACAGATGCGCACACCCACAAACTGATAATACCGTCGATCCGAGGAAGGCTCCAGTAATCTCACCTCGAGGAACTCCTGCGCGTAGGCCTGCGCGAGCTGGGCCTTGATCTGTTCCATGAGATGCTCCGTGGACGCAGTCGACCCCGCCGACGACGGCGACGAGAACGAGTCCATGATCTCCGGCGAGCGGCGGCTCCCTCCAACTCTTCCGCGGCAAAGCTGCGCGCTGGTCGGCTTCTTCTTCCTCAGCAAGACATGGAGAGAGTTATACGACGGCGCGGTGGGCGGTGGCTAGTGGCCACGGCGTCTTGTGGGCTTGTGGCGTGGGCCATAACCCTAGGCCCAAAAAGGCCCAAATAGTTTCATTGTTGGGCCTTATGGGCCATAATGTTGTGGCACCGAGGCCCATATATAGTCAGATCAGGCTGTAGGCCGGTAGCCACCTCGGCCTAGTTGCGTACAGGGCCCCGTCGAGTCCGTCTCTTCTTTTATGGGCAACAAGTACTACACTAGAAATACTAGGTTCGGTGATCCTTCGAGTTCTCAAAATCAATCCATCAATCATCATCGATAACGCGGCGACAGAACGCATTCCGAACCCGTAGTTGTTGGACATTACCGAAACCGTCGATGTGGGAGCATCGAATGTGGCTTTGCTTTTTGGCGACCCGAGCTACACACACACTTTCTTTTTTCTCTCCATTTGTTACCTCAAGTGTCAAGAACCCTTGGGTCTTAGCTTGCTCGACAGCGAACGCTGTCGCCGCTTTACCCCGCATGGTCTACTTCAGGAACCAGTAACGGATACTAATCTAAGAAAGCGCCCACGAGATAGGTGACGCCGCACTGCAGTACGCACAGGTCGTCGCGAAGCTGCACTTGCATCCACGTTACGTCGCCATCAGGGGCATTTGCATTTGCATCCTCTCTCTCTGACGATGCACACCAAGCACGGACAGTACACACTCGCATCCGTCCGTGTCTCACGTTGCAATCACATTAGCTCAGGCGTCGTCTTCAGTACAGCTATATACACGATTAAATGAAGCTTTACTTCAGTTATTAGCAAATCAGCAGAGAGTTAACTGATTAATTAATAGCTGTGCGCTGTATATGTGCAAGGCTTGTTTCACCTGCCCGTGAAGCTGCTCCCCCTGTGAGCAGTGTGAGAGACAGACAGGGGCAGTGGGGGCGCAGTGCAGCTAGCTGTGCAGGTGCAGGGGGGGTGCGCGGTAGTAACAAAGTACGCGGCGGAGAAAACGGTAAACAGGAGGGGAGATCGAGGGCATCAAGAGGAGGGGGGTGTGGTGGCGTGGCTGCAGCGGCGTGGCTGGTAGCGAGCTGAGCTCTGCCGGCCAGCGCTTTCCAAGCTAGCGAGCCAAGCCAGCGCGCGACATGCAAAAGCCTGCGGGCGCGCGGGGCGTACGTCGTCCTACTAGCAGCTAAGCTACCTCGGGTCCCCCACCTGCGCCCTGCCTGCTGCAACTGCGGCCCGCGAGCGCGCGAGATCAATCAAAAGGCGCTCTCTGATCGATCGATCAATCGATCTAATGGGGGAGAGAGGGGAGGAGAAAAAAAGATCAAATCATTTTACTGGGCTTCTTCGCTATGGCTAGATGGTGGGAGCTAGGGGGCAAGGAGGAGAGCCCTGTTCATGAAAGCAACAACGCATGCATGCGATGGGGACTCTGATCGATCTGCAGCTGATGCTGCTGCAGCTGCTTCTGCAATCTGCATGCGCCTGACTGCGCGCGCCCATCTCTCGATCTCGCTCGCCTGGTGGGCGTACGTAAATTAACCCAGGGGTGGCATGCATGGCACCGAGTACTTTGCCTGCGCTGCTGCATGCTTCGCGCCGCGCAGCGCACTGTGTATGTGCAAGTGCCTAACATGGCAGCTCCGGGCCTCCGAACCGTGGAATTGAATACGTTACCTACGTGAAACCAGGGCGGTTTTATTGTTGTTTTTTTTGTTGCGAGGGCTCAGGACTGACAGCGTACACAGTGTACAACATGAGTATTGGAGACATAATATAATAATCAGTGGTAATTCGTGGAGTGGTGCAGCCACAAACCAACCTGCAGCAGATCATTGCCCTCGCGGGGGCATAGAATTTCGGCGGTCAAGTAGCTAGGCTACTCGCTGGAGGACCTGCAAAGGTTAATAATGCTTGGCCTGCAGTTGATGCCTCCCCGGAAGCCCCACTATATACTATTCCGTCTGGATTTTTGCACCTCAGATTAATTTCTTACGAATAATTAAAAAGATTATGGAAATTAATATAACCATCAACTCAATTAAACCCATTAACCCAGCAGGTTTGGAAATGACCATCTCACTCTTATAAGGTGGTTAGAAGTTCCCTGTCAAAATACAGAACTTTTTTATTTGTCAAATTTCGGTATATATATTTCCGGGAGCAATACCAACTACTAGTAGAATGTACCAACCACAGGCTTGTTCAACCCAAGACCTCAATCCCCTCCAATCCTTCTCCGGAGGATTAACCGAACAAAACCGATACTGTACAAATTAATGTTTCAGCAAACAGCCTCTCGGGCGCAGGTTTTCATACACGCGTTCACAAATACTACCATGATCGATAACATTAACTGGCCACATAATCTACTTCGGAGACGATGTTTTCAGACTATCTACGCGGGAAGCTAGCAGCAGCAGTGCACGGGATCGAAAGTCTTGAAACAACTGTGCCGCGCGTCAGTGTGCGCCCCTGGATATATAGTTCGTTCGTCTTACTACAATAATTTCCGGCCCTAACGCGTGGAGGATCACCCTGCGCGTCGTCCTGTGTCATGCGCCGGCCCCATGTGTCAGTGCCAGGCTAGCTAGGCTTTTCCGGATGGGCCCCCTCTCCCTCCTCCCCGCTGCCCAAACTACTAATCAATGGAGCCTACTACTTCCCTGGCCTGGATGGAGATCAGATGGATGGCAATGGGCAATGGCATCTCCTCGTCTTTGAGTCCTTCGCCATCTCCATCCCTCTTTCCGCTGAGTCGTCATTTTCAGTTTTTTTGGGGGGAAGAAGCCTTTTTCCTTGAGATAGGAGTATCTACATATCACTATATGCTCTAGCTACTAGCTAGCCTCTAGGCTCTAGCTGGTTATTATTATCATCGCGCGCGCCTACCCATTCGGCAAAATGCTCCCAACTTTCCTCAACGGCCATCCTCTCCATCGTCGTCCTCGCGAGCTCCCATCCTCAACGCATGCGCGTACGTGGCGTGACGGGAATGTATATCAGGAACGGAGCGCCATCATGACATCATCGTATGGCTGCCGGCCATGTTTCTCCAATCTGTGCATGCATGTGTGTGGGTGCATCGCATCGCATCGTCTCGATCGCCGCGCGCATATCCCTCTCCTCTCCTCTCGGTCGATCGGCTGCTAGCTTGTGCGCGCGCATGCATGCCATGCCGCCTGCGTGGCAGCGTTGTTTGTTGCCTGGTGTTGCACCTGATCTGCCATGCGGCTTTGTCTCCATCTCTCTATTGTACTACTGACTTACGGTCATGAACAAAAATAATCAAGAAAATATATATTACTGTGTTGTGTCAGAGCTGCCGCCGGCTCGGCTGGCCGGCCGCCTTGCTGGCTGATCTCCCACCCTCCTGCCCTGTGTCGTCTAATTAATTACTGTTAATATGCATAATGATGATAATTTCCCCCTTAGTTTCTAGTTTCTACTCCTCTGTCCCAAAAACAAATCTAAAATTAGATATGATACATTCTAATACAACAAATCTGTATGTATTAGAATGTGTCATATCCGATATTAGATTGATTTTTATAAGACGAAGGAAGTGCTTAAACCCGTATAGAAATACTACACTAGTACGGCTGGCAAGCTGCTACATATAGGCCTTGTTTAGTTTGGGAAAATTTTTAGGTTTGGTTCTCACATCGGATATACGTATACACATATTTAAAGTATTAAACGTAGTCTAATAACAAAACAAATTACAGATTCCGTCAGAAAACTACGAGACGAATTTATTAAGCTTAATTAATCCGTTTTTAGCAAATGTTTACTGTAGCACTACATTATCAAATCATAGCGCAATTAGGCTTAAAAGATTCATCTCGTAATTTACACGTCATCTGCGTAATTGGTTTTTTTTCTTACATTTAATATTTCATATATATGTTTAAACATTTAGACAGTGTAAAAATTTTTGTTTTGAGAAGGCCATAGTATCCAGTTCGTCTGGATTTGTTCTAGTACTCATCCCCTGTCATGTGTGGTCGTACCTATCGTACCAAGTTAACCTTATTAATGCATAGTACCATCGACGTGGCCAGCTGCTACTACTACTAGTACTAATTTACTTTGGCTTACATCGCATATATCACACATGAATATGCATGATGTGGATTAGTCGTACACCGTCCATGCATGCCGACATGCGATAAAAACTCAGCAGGATATTACTGCCTCTCCGGCGATGGTATATGGAAACGTGCGTGACGGGGACGAAAACGCGCGCACCATAATGTTTACTATTTTATTTCTGGTCAAGCCAGTTAAGATATGTTAGACCACAGTTATAGGTACTCCTTCATCCAAAAAAATCGTAGAGATGTATAACCTGCATGTCTAGATATATCTCTAGGGTTATACTTTTTTTAGAGGAGGAAGTACATACACACCTCAGTCCCACAGTAACTTTGTTTTAACAATTCTCAAACAACAAATTAGTAGTGAAAAGATACGACTATACATGGTGCCCCACATTAAAACACTTAGGGCCTATATGGGGGAGCTTTAGATTCTGAGAAACAGCTGTTTGGTAGCCAGCTTCTGAGAATCTGGAAAAACTCTGAAATCCAGCTTCTCCAGCTTCTGACTTCTTAGTTCATTTTTCAGAATCAGAAGCTGTGGACTGTTTGGGGCAGCTTCTAGCAGAAGCAGCTTTTAGGAAAAGCTGCAGCTGGGACAAGCTCTCTCAAACAGGGCCAGGTGTATTTGGCAAGCTCCAACAAAATACGCATATACCTTACCCTGATCTGTTGTAGCCCGTAATAATGCTATCTTTGTGGGGCATTTTAAATCCTGGAAGTTGTTTGTTGGATATTACACTAATTATTAAATTTTCATCATATGCTAAATATTTGCTTTTTTTCTTAACGACTTTGACTTAAATGATGAGTACACATGTCAGTTACAAGTTGCTTAATTAATATTATTTTGAATTTCATAATTAAATTAATAAATTTACTAAATTGAGTCTCTGATTTGGGTTCATATTTACTCTTTGTTCTGAATT